CAACTCATATAAAAACTGCAAAGTACTTAAAAAGTCCCAATGCTTTACTTGTAGCTTCTGTGCTGACACAGAACCCTAATCTATGTCTCCCAATTTGTATTTGGGACATTTGTAGGCTTTTAGAGTTTTGACAACTTATTATCAAGAGTATGAAAGCAAGCAGAGGGAAGATAATGAAGGATAAGTAGAGAAAAAATGCGAAAGGAGAAGAAGAAAAAAGGAGAGGAGGATAACATAAATAAGATTCATCAGCGAGAGGAGAAGAAGAAGGAAGAAGAGGGGAGGATAAGAAGTGGAGAATTTTTCCGAAAAAGATTAATTATGATTTCCCATTACCAAATTATGCCATCTCCATTTTATACTTTGAGCAAGCAAGATTCGCATTTCCCTAGATCGAATTTTGCACTTGAAATCCAATTTTGGGTCATCAAACATATTCTGAAGCATCTTGAAATGTTTTTTTTGAATAAAAGCCTCATAAAAACAGTGTAGACATCTTGGAAGGAAAAGCAGGCCATTTAAATGTTGGACAGATGCCTTTTAATATGCTGATAAAAAAACCACCAATCGCTCTTTGATCGTCTTTCAATAATCCAGTTTCAAACTTCTTCAGAGACCAATCAGAATTGACCAGATTCCAATTTTCAGTGCAAAGTAATTATAATAAATTTTAGGGTATAGATTGCACCAGAAATACTTCAATCAATTCCTCGAGAGATTTTAAATTCACATTAGATGACAGTAGAAAAGTACAGCCAACAAGCAACTTTGTTAATAGTGTTTTCAACTCTTCTGCTCAAGAATGAACTACCATCTGAAGAAGGAAATTCAATTAGTTCAACGTTCGTTTTTCGACATTGATGCCTGTAGTGAAGCATAAAAAAATCAAAGCCTGTGCCTTCTTCGTAGTTTGGATGATGTCAGCAATCGTAGTATACAAGAATAAATAATCCAGCACAGATTGACAGTCTTCGCCGTCTAGTTGACTTTTTAGAATTGACTCTCAGTCTTTGGGGTCAACCTGGCAGTCTCTGCGAGGAAGGTAGTGCCGACAAGGCTCAAGGGCTTGTCAAGAAAGACAGGAAGGGCCCAACCATATACAATTTGATAGCCATTTTTGCTTTTTGTTGAATATACTATACAGTAAACTATATACACCATAAAAGATCTGCTAAAAAAAGAGCGACACTTTATTCGTTCCATGAAGGAAAAAACGCTTTCAGACCCTAAATAATAAAATGCCAAAGAAAGAGGTCAACACACGCGCGCGCATGCGCACATACACACACTTGCACGTGCATACTGGAAAAAAGGAATAATAAGGATTAAGTAACTATATGAGATGACTTCTAACATGAAATTCGTATTCTCAGGGGCAGCAAAGTCCCGGGGAAAAAATGATATCAGCATTACATACATACGAGCCATACCCATTAAATATATAAATTTTAAAATAAAATGCTCTATTTGGAAAACAGAGATTCACAGGTTCTGGGTCTTTAATGCCATTAATCTTAGGCTTGAGAGCGACTGTTCATGAAGCTCATGAATACAGTATGAAGATAGATGCGATTTAAGAGACAATTAGTTTTTTTTTTCACAGGAAGCGCAAAATAATCGGTAGCATATCATTTGAAATTAGGAGAAAACCTCTAGCATAGCACACAAGAAGACCAGTCGATACATCTGTTCAAGAAGATTATCCTTGTGGTTTTCGAAAGTACGATGCATAACCAGAAGTTTCATTTTAGATGCCCCAGATCCATCTCCTCTCTTCATCCTAACACATATGACAGATTAACCTTAAAATTATGGGACACCAATTCGATACCAATACTGAAATCTTCCAGAGATGGTAGGCTCATCCAATGGCAAAAACAGGGCTTAGACAGGGAAATAAACGTGAATGCAAACTGGGATTTTGAACTCCTGAAATTTTTCCAACGAGAGCTAGGACGTTACACCAATATATTTTTCTGGATTAACAAATTGGTATCATGTTCATTAAACTCTTCCTGATCTAGATGAATTTTACAAAAGTAATGAACTGGCGCCTCTCCCATAGACAACATATTCACAAAAAAAATAGAAAATGCCCTGCAGTCCATGGTTTTTGGCTATTAGTCACCTCTCTTTTACTGGTTTCAAATCAACTGCAAGGAATTCCCTCAAATGAAGCTCTGGATCCAACGTCGATGCCAGCATAGACGCTTCAAAGTTTTCATTTTGGACTGCTAACTTAAGCAAAACAGGATTCTACGAGAGCCAAGAGGAGAAAAAAACCGCAGTGAGGCCAGTAAACCGACAGATCATGCCGTGATGCCTCGAAATCTTTTAGAAGCTTAGTCAAAGCTGTCCACCTTCTCCCTAGTGTGGATCTTTGGCGCCTCATTTGCAGACGCTATTGTGGGTAGATTCGCAACCTTTTCCTGCTGCATCAACTATCTAAGCCCAACTCGCTGTAAATAGTAATTTTTAATAGGCTTTCTTACACTTCTGCTCACATCCAACTTCGACGTGAAAAAAGTAGAGCTTCAAGTCATGGAAGTCCATAGCATCGGTGCAGATGGAGACGATCTAGTCACAATCGTGGGAAACGAACGGAAACGCCTGAAGCCAGATTACTGCAGTAGAACGAGGGGGTTTGTGGGCTGGGCTCATAAAAAAACAGCAATATAAGCTGGATAAAGAGCTCTCTACAATGTATTTTCCACTCTCAAAGCCCACTAATGATTTAGTAATTAGGCCCTGCATTTCATCTGATCCCGTTATCTGTAGCTTTCAAGAAAAATGCGTAAACCTCTTCCCAAGTTCGTCTTTCATTTGCCTCGTACGTTATTTCGTCAGCAGATGAGATAGAGACTACCTCTTGGAGTTGCTTCACGAGATCCTCATTCGCATAACTTTATCCTCCACAACGAATCAACCCCTATGTTACAGGGCATTACTATTTTCGAAAGAAAACTGTACAAGGTAGACTTACCTCTCAAGTAGGGAGAGAGGAGACAGCATATTCTTCGGCGGGAAATCTTGACGGTTACGTATTTTCTCAGCACCTTACCCCGTGGACAACGCTGAGAAATTCTTTCTGTGGTGTCTTTTGCTTTAGGATCAGCAGAGGCAACAGCTTCCTCCCCATTGTCATGAAAACGTCACTATCGTCCTCAAGACCTGGAGTCTGGACAAGCATCTGCTCCGTCTCCTCTCTCTCCATCAGCTACCCCCGCTTGACGAGCTCAGCGAGCGCCTCCCCGGGTTCTGCCAAGCGTGGTGTCGAGCTCGAATCCCCGGAAGTACCAGCCTCCGTATCTCCGTCCAGGTAATTATCTTCTTCTCCGTCGTCCTCATCTTCCTGGGGTGAAAGATCCACGCCATCCACCGAGGATGATTCACTTGGCTACGGCTTCTTGGTGTCGGTGGAGAAACCTCCGGCCTCCTGGCTTACCACATGGAGAAATGCAGCGACCGGCGTCTTCTCACACTTGTCTTCCTTCTCTGAGGTTCCAAACCCTCTGGGCTCGACCAATCTTCTCATCGGCAGGGCATCATAAACCTGGCCTCCACCCCGCGGCGCCGAGAAGCTGGGAAGACTCGATGGAACAGTAGGGGTGGGTTATGTCTATAGTTATATATACTTCCAGACTGAACTGGACCGGTCCGGTCGACACCGCGACTGGACCGGTCCGCGCTTCCAAAGTTGAACCGACTCAGACCCGTGAGCCCGAACCGCCCGGCTCGGGTTTTAATAGAGACGTGTGTATCTTTCCCTTTCTTGCAAAAAGGGCATGTTTTTCCTAGTTTTATTAGATTCGGTTCCAAAATGCAGTAGGGACGTATAAACAAATCGTTTGAGGTTATAATAGTAATTAAGCATTTTGTTAAGCGAGATTTACAATTCTCAACCTTGTTGACGCGCCCTCCGGCTGATCCCAGCGCAGCTCCGCGGCGACCGCCCTCCGACCTTGCCTACCGATGCATACCTACTTCAGGGTTCGCGTCGACCGATCGTTCAAATAGAAGGAAGGGCAGGCGAAGAAATTAGTTCAGGTTGGTAATTGTGGCTTGGGCAAGGCTTTTTGTCGCGGGGAATTGCGTCCTTATCATCTCTTGCAGGTGGCCGTTAGCTCAGGTCAGTTGTTCCGCCAAAAAAAAGTCGTCGTTGAAGTCGGGGTAGTGGTCTGAAGGGCTGTTCGAAATCCTGAGGCGGGGCGATGTCGAGGTTTCGCTTTGTTCTTTCGCGGTACGGCTGGATTTTTTTTTTCTTCGTTTACTTTGATGCCCTGCGTAGCGGAATTCTTCGTTTCCTCACCAAAACTACTGCAAACCCACGTAGATCAACTGCATTGCCTTGTTTCTTGATATGATCTATTTTCAAGGTTTTCTCTCTTTGCCTAATCTCCCAGACGCTCTATCTGGCTCCCTCAACGGTTTACATTTTAGTGCCTCTATGAAAGAAATACGAAACGAGTACATGGGATTAGTGATCTGTTTGATTATTTTTTCATCTTCTTTTTAAAGCCAATCCATGTGCTACATGTTATTTCTATTCCATTGACTTCTTGTCAAAGCATTGTTATTGGCTTTTGTCCTATGTCTACCGTATGGAGTAATTCAACTGACAGAGAAGAATGAGTGTGCTTACCAGGAAATGATCACTCACCCTCCCCTTTGTTCAATGTCATCTTATAATGCCGTTCGCCTAAGTGGATCTTGTCGTCCGCCCCTACCTCAATCGCCACCTGTAGTATAGGTGAACACGGCCTGTAAAGTAAAACTTTGTTAGTACTGTTGCTACTTTCGTTCTTCTCATAACTGAAGATTAAAATGTACTTTGAGTCGATCACAGGAATCTGACGGACATCTTTTCACTATGAAGCACACTTTTCTCTGTTTTCTTGACCCATAATCGTCTGTAACTCTCTGTAAAAGGTCCCTGGGACGTGAAGTTACACATTTGGTCCTATTATTCCTGTTATGCCCCACTTAGGTTTAGGTACATAATGAAGGTGTTGTAATGCAGAAGAATATCAGCCAGATGGCGAGGATCCATACTCTCTTTTTAATCCACTGCACCTCACACTTTTTCTTTTTTCCAGTCTTGAAATATCCATAAATTTCGTTTTTTATTTTTATTTTTGTTGTTTCATGAGGCCGTTACATAAATTAACTGTTTCATTTTTATATGTGCAGTTTGGCCCATTCCAGAATTTCCGTCGGGTCTGGACTCCATGATAATGCCATACAACGGTATGCATCGATCTTCATTTTGGTGCATCTTTGTATTCATCCGGAAGTTGTCACGACCCGAAACTTGGTTGTATACTTATCAATTTGGTCAGCTGTGTGATATTCTCCCTAGTGGTTCATGCTCTATCTATTGAGGGAGATATGTTCGTTGGCGGCCCTGTTGAATGGAACTATATTCTTGGACCTACCATCAATTTCTGACAATTGTGGAGTCAGGAACCAGAATATGGACTGTGATTAGGTCTTACTTAATTTGGGCAGATTCATTTACATTATGCCAAAATTGGTGTGAACTGGCTTGAACTTCTGTAGATCAGGGGCTCTTAGCCACGTTTTTTATTACATGTCAAGTAATCTATCTATAAATTTATGTACAATGAGCAGATTTTTTTTGGAGTACACGTTGAAGTGACACTTGCTGGAATTATATTTGTTTAAAAGTGAAAACAGTCATTTACCGGGATTGAGTAACTTTATCCTGTTGTTGCTTCTTGTAAGAACATCATGCGTGTGCTTATTTTCTCTTAAGAACAAAAGATATCTGATCTGGGTTCTTCCCAATCATTGTTTTTTCTCTATCATCGTGATGTTTACCATTATGTACTAGAAAACAGAATTGCATGCTCCAATACCTCTGCAAAACCTTCCATATTTTCCAAGCAGGGGGAATATGGCAAATATAGTTTTTACTTGTGATTCCCTACTATTTATGCTGCCTTCGGTGGCGTTCAGATAGAATGCGCTGAACCGTTCTTTTTTGAAGTGCTTAGTCTGTTGTCTTCAAATTGATCACCCAAAAATGTCTCGAATCACATCTTTTAGGAATAAAACTAGAGCGTAACTTGTACTAGAAAAAACATTATTTTTCTTTCACCTCTTCCTGCATTGCTGAGTGCATTATACCTCATTCATTTCTCATTGTTCAATATCTGGATGGAGCAACTTTTTGGAAAAAAATTTGATGAGAGAAAGGAGATAAACTTTCACCACTTTCACATTCTAGAAGTGATTACACTCCATGTTTGCTCTCTAGAATTTCATATTTTTTACACAATTGTAGTGATACATAACATTCTGTGGATTATGTTCTTTTTCCTTCGCAGTCCATTATCATCTGTTTTCAAGACGGGCCCTTTGAGTGAGAAGGTAGTACATTACAATTTTCAGATTTTTCTTTTCCAGCAATTGATGCGCTAAAATGAACCATTCTTTTCAGTTAAATGAAGTTCGATGCTTCTCATCTTCAGGTATGCTGCCATTTAATTTCACTTTTCCCTTTTTCCCTTGCATATGTTTTAGCAAAAAATAAGTTGTTGCTTGAGGTCACTGCAACTTGCTTTTTCTCTCATCCTGTTGATCCCGGGGTATGAAATACTTTTCCCATCTTTCTTATGTATTAGTGGTCCGACTACCAGCACTGTGAATGAAAAATAAACAATCTAAGTTAGATTGTTAGTCCTGGGTCGAACTTAGTTGGTAGACGAAGCTTATTTTACAGTCAATTCATATATCATTGTAGTTCATTGATTGCTGCTGTCAATTAGTCACTTCATTTGTATGATATAACATAGTCATTTTATGGAAAGTGTATTGTTCTATTTAGTGATATTACATGAACATCATACAGCGTCCATAAAAAAGAATTGATGTTAGTCTTAGAGATGGCTTTTCATGTCTTTGGATGAAACCGTTTTTCATTTGGTGATGGCAATGACCTTTTAAAACAACATCCATGACTTATCACCCACTGGGCAAGGGTCTGAGACTTCTACAGGCAGTATTACTGCGATAGCATGCTTCTAAGATGCTGGTTATGAATTTTTATTTATAATAAATTTAAAATAAATTATGAACTGAAAAATGCGTTTTCATTGATCAGACATGCATTTCTTGAAATTGGAATTACTATATTAAGCGTTAATTTTCTTGACAATGGGCACATTCAATGCTGTTTTTAGTTGTAGAAGGATACCCAGAATCTACTGCTGTGCTAGATTGTTCCATATCTATTAGTTGGGGCTTTCTGGGTGAGCAGGAAAATAAGTAACATTGGGGATGAAACATCTTAGTTGAGAACCTTGAAAAATTATGAGGGCATGGGAGTATCAGAATGTTCAGATCCATGTCATCCAGATTCATCAATTTCCAAATAAAGGTCATTGCAGAAGAATCAAGCCCATTAATTCCATTATTTGATTCAATTGTTACCTTGGCCTGTGTCGTATGACTGTAGTTACAGTGTATTCACCGGATTCCCTGATGTACATGACTGTTAAGGATGCTCAATCACTTGTGGGTATTTCTACCGAGCGACTCCGTCCAGTATCTAAGACACCGATTAGCAAAATAATTGAGTAAAAACTGTAATGAAACACTGATGTACCATGATTAATTTCCTAGAGTATTTCTGCTCACAAATACCTGGGGGAAGCGTCATTTTCCACACTTTTTTGTTGTAAGTTTTTCCCTCAGAAATAATTGACGCCAGTTTTAAAAAGATATTTGTTGCCATATCCCTGCATTTTATGAAGGAATGAAAGCACTAAGGCCTGAAAAACATTTTTTTGGAAGAGGAGATCAAATCTGAACTAGTCAGAAATTGATATCGTAGGAATCTATGGTCCAAATATTTACCCTCTGTTCTTGAACTTGACTTCATTTTTCTTTTTCTTGATGGACCATTATACCGTCTACAGAAAGCCTTCTTAGTAATGGTCATTTTTACTCAGAAAATGGGAGCATTTCAATAAATCATACAGGATACCTACTGTGCCTACTGCAGCATGAGCAACACTACAGACCTGTTCCTTTTTTTTACGTTGGTGCTTTTTTTATAAAAAAAAATAGATTGGTGCAGCTTTGTTTTCATAATCTAATCTTCTGCTACATGATCACTGCAGAGATTCCTGCACATATTGTTCTAACAATGCCTGCACTGTCCCCAACGATGGTAATGAAAATTTGCCAATGGCACTTTGTATGATGATATTACTTCCGCATTGACTTTTCATCTGGCTAATCCTTTATTTTCAATGTGTCATTTCAGAATCAAGGGAACATAGCAAAGTGGAGGAAGAAAGAAGGAGATAAGGTGGACTACTTTATTACATATTTTGTGACAATATTTCCCATTGAATTCATTTGCACGTCATCATAGAATTCTCACTCTTGCCGTTTCTTATTTTTGCAGATTGACGTGGGTGATGTTATTTGTGAGATCGAAACAGATAAAGCAACCCTCGAATTCGAAAGTCTCGAGGAAGGGTAGTTTCACGACCAAACTATTCACTAACTGATTCTTGATTTCCCTGTTCTCTTGAATTCCTTCTCTGAACATTTTTGTCAGATGCATTTATTAGGTTCTTGGCTAAGATAATTGCTCATGAAGGTGCAAAAGATGTACTTGTGGGACAACCAATTGCTATCACAGTATGTTAATTCAGTTTTATTTATCAATCATTTCTCTTTTCGTGTATGGGACAACTACTTCTGCACGGTTAATTCTACATTTTTTGGTAGATTTGCGTCGGATTTTATCCAACAGGCATAGTCCCACTGCTAGGTTGCCTATTGTTTTTTCGAAGCAGTGCTGGAGACAGTCTTTCTCTAATTAGAACAATTTCGTTTGTTGTGCAAGGTTGAAGATCCAAATGATATTAAGAGTGTATCAGTCTCTACATTTGGTGATTCAGAGATAAAGGAAGAAAAGACAGCACCGGTCAAATTGGAAGAGAAAGAGAGCTCAAACAAAAGCACATGGAACAGGATAAGCCCATCTGCTAAGTTACTCATCACAGAATTTGGTCTTGATGCGTCTTCAATTAAGGCATCAGGTCCTCGTGGCACTCTCTTGAAAGGTGATGTGCTGGCGCTTATAAAATCAGGAGGCACTTCGTCCAAAGCCAGTGATTTACTACCACAAGTACTACCTATAACATCTCAAAGCTCAAAGGTAGATTCTCAACCATCACCACCTCTGTCGAGTGACTACTCCCACCACAAAGATACTTATGAAGATCTGCCAAACAGTCAAATTCGTAAAGTACGTTTCCCATACAACTAGATACTTTATTTATTGATGTATTCGCTTGGTTGTCAACATGCCGTAGAAGTTTGATACTTTTTTGGCTTACTCCTTTAAGTGTTTAAACTGCACCCTATGTGCTTCAACATGGTTCTCCATCAGTATCTAAAAGAAAGGTATTTTTACATTTTAAAGGATATGTGATTCAGGAAGTTAGGTGCCAAGAATGAGTAGATATCCCATACCAGCAAACAAGATGTGGTACAAGAATGAGTAGAACTTGAAGTTAGTCTGGTACATGTTTGACGTGGTGGGAAGAATCTTCTGAAGTAACACATCGGAAGCATTTCTTTCGAAAGATGAACCCTAATGGTCTACAGCGTCGAGAATTAGATAAAGTTTGAATACGGCAAACACATGCTTTTGGTGCCTAAATTCTGCAACGGACTATTGCTTTGTGATCTTCTCCATTATGGGACTTACCCAGGATGCTTACATTCTGCAGAAGAGAAGTTTTGGAATTGCTGACTAAATATATAATATTGCCAAATTCATCTGAGTTTTGGCAGATGTTTGCTCTTTTTCTTTTACCTTGTCAACAGTGTCATCATCCATTTCAACAGATGTTCGCTCTTTTTCTTTTACCTTGTCAACAGTGTCATCATCCATTTCAACTAGAAAATATTAGGGAAAATTAGTACATTTAGTTTTGTGCATTGAAAGATAAGTAAACTGGGGCACAGTTTTTAATCTCGAATGTCATGCTCAATCTAGGGCGCTCGACTTCAATTCATGTTGTAGTAGGGTGCAAGAACAACAATGTTGCTTGCCAGAAAAGAGCTATTAAATAAACAATGTTGTGATGTCATATAAACGTACAGTTGTGAAAAAGGATCCTTGTTCACTTGCTTGAAAGCATTGAACTTCTTAGCAGATGATTAGTATTGAGTAGTGATGTTGATTTAGATAACTTTCTCTGCTCTAGAAGAATAGATCACAATCAATAGAAAGATACTAGAATCTGTATGATTTAAGTCATCTGGTATAATCGATCTCCATTACCCAATAAATGTTTCCAATTGAGGTGCTTCGCAACTGCATCTTTCTAACTTTTCATGATGAAAACATGGGAAAGCCATTGGTTCTTTTTAAGTTTATGCTTTATTTTATTTTCTCTTCATTAGTTGAAGTTGTTCTCTCGAGTTGAATGGTTCCGAATCTTGAGTTTATCTTTTAATATGGTTTTGGTGGAGATACCAATCGATGTTCCTATTTAATTTTAAATGAGGCGATCAGACGTGTATATCCCTGTATAAGGTTTCTTATTTTGTAAATGTAAATCAAATTGTCCCTGAGATCATTGTCTCACAGGTGATAGCTAGGCGGCTGCTGGAATCTAAACAAAACACTCCACATTTGTATCTATCTTCAGGTTTGGATATGTCAGAAACTACTTGGCTCTTGAGCTTTCATGGCTTCAAAATTTTCATTTCGGAAAAATGTTGCTGATTTTTTGTGATGGTTATTTTCAGATGTTACACTGGATCCACTGATTACTTTCAGAAATATACTTAAAGGTCTGGTGCCGCAGAGTCCTTATTTCACTTGTCTTTGTTTGATGAAAACTCATTCATCGGTCTACCTCTATATTTATTCTGGAGCTCAATATAATAAATATTTGGTGCGTGGTACCTCAACATACAGAACAGCACAAAGTCAAGGTTTCTATAAACGACATTATCATTAAAGCAGTTGCGCTTGCTTTGAAAAGTGTACCTGAAGCAAATGGTAAGTTTTTTGGAATATGCTTCTTTGAACTAACACAGCTTCCATGATATAAACTTGTGTATCGTATGATTATATTAATTTAATGCTCAGATAAATAGCACACGTTTATCTGACTACATGGTAAACTATGGATTTCTATCATCCATCGTTTGCCATTCTTCTGATTGATCCATGTTTCCCACGTGTCAATATCATAAGGATTCTAATCTGTTTTGACGCAGTATTGACTTGCAAAGTTAGGGGTTCTATATGATTTGACTATATGCCACTACCGACAAGTATTCATTCTCAGTTATGCAAAATAAGTCCGGATGCGAATTCATATGACTCTTTGTTATTTGTCAGATGTGATTCTTTATCCAGTAATGCATTATCTTAAGTTATAAAGAGTTCTATGAACACTTCTCCAAAACTTTTCTTTTTAGTTGATACTGAATACTTAATACTTATTTCCAGCGGCACATTAGAAAATTCAGTAGACATCGCCAGATGATTTTTTATTGAGCGAATGTAGTGTTCCCTTAAGCAGCCGATTTTTTCCTGTTTGCCAGGGTAACTGATTATTTTTTTTATTTTTTTAGTATTTATGCTCTCAATTGAATGTTTAATACTGGATGTTACCACTTTTTAATATTGATTTAAGTCTTTTAAAATATTCTAAGGGAGATGTTTTAGTTTCTATTCGAGATTTCTAACACTAAAGCGCCTGATTGCTGCCAGCATGATGCTACATTTTCGTTGTCTTCACAATGTCTTATGCGAGTTTATTTTTCTGCCTTTATAGCTATCAGAACTCTTTTTACCTTTATTAAAAGCCATTTATCTCACCCGCCTGTGTTAACATGCTTGTGCATCTCAACTATTTCACGTGCATTTTCTTTTGGTTTAGCTGTGTGGATTATTATCAAACATTTTTTTATGATATGGGATAGCCTGATTGTGTGAGGGCATTCACTAAGCTGTATTGTCTCTTTTTTCTAAATCATCTTGGGTATTTTTCAGCTTATTGGAATGATGAAAAGGGAGATGTTTCTCTGTGTGATTCCATTGATATTTCTATTGCTGTGGCCACTGACAAGGTATGTTTGAGCACTGTTCTCTGTCAAAGAGATCAAACTCGGACCTAATTCAAATTATTTTTGAGTTACAGGGCTTGATGACCCCCATTGTTAGAAATGCGGATCAAAAGTCTTTGGTGGCAATATCCTTAGAGGTACTTTTAGAAAATACTTGGATTTACATGCAAATGTGTGATACGCTCAGGATAATTATGTGCAGTTGTCCTTGCTAAAAATTTGTCTATCTGAATTAGTCTAATCCTTTTTTTATGTGCATATATTTTGATTTTGAATATAATGTGCTTATTGGTTCTAATGGAGAGCCTCACAATATAAAAAATCCTTTTAAACACTATAAAGTGGGACTAGTACTGTGGTTGACATACCTTTGTCCATCCTGATCGTCTTACTCGGAAATAGATGTTTAATGCATGAAATAGTCGCATCATGCTAACCGAGGTGGCTCTGTTGAGAATGATGGTGATTTAGTGCCTTATTACAACATTCAATTGGGAATCAATTCTCATAAGAAGTGTTAGGCCATGTTATAAAAGCAGATGGTACCTCCTGTTCTCTCAGGACGAAGGTGGAAGCCGGGAGATGTTGACCCCATAAGGAAGATTTTCTTCTAGTTATGTATTGCAGTGTCATTGCTAGGTTGTGCTGCTTCCTCCCGATCTGCTCATTTAGATTGTAGATTCCGGTACCAAGTTGTCCCTCAGTGATCTCTGTGTTTGATTGTCTCTCTTTTTCACTTTTCACTTGTTCAGTCTTGATTTTCCGTTTTTACTTTTTTGTTGTTAAAATAGTTCTTTGCTGAAAAAGATGCTTATCCATCTACCATTCAGGTTAAAGAATTGGCAGAGAAGGCTCGGATTGGGAAGCTTGCTCCTGCCCAGTATCAAGGTGGGACTTTTAGGTGAGTTTATTTATTAATTTGTCATTCAGCGTCTGCTTTCTTCTCCGCTCCTCGAAATTATACTGCGGACATTTATTCCCATCTGTTATGCAGCATATCAAATCTAGGAATGTTCCCCGTGGACCATTTTTGTGCAATTATCAACCCTCCTCAGGTACCACTCTGCCCTTATGTCCTGTGCCTTTGCCTCTTTATAGCATGTTTTGAAGAGTATCTAGTTACAAATTGTCGGAATCAAGATATGCACATAAAAGCCGATCTGAGGTGTCTTCTGATAGACACTTTTTATCTCTTCTGATTAGAATATCTCACGGAAGAATGACATAAGTAACCAATCAATGTGTGTCTCTTGAATCTAGGTTCTTCCATACAGATACAGAACAGTATGGCTCCAAAAGAGTTTTTAAAATGGAAAATTATGTATACAGTGCGAAATGTTTCCTTTATTGTTTATTTTGAACATAGATTTCCAGTTGTTTTGACGACTGTAGACAGATTTATAGACTAAGCGAACGGAATTTTTCTGGATTAGAAAATAAAACATTAGATGTTTTGGTGGCTATTCTTATAATTTCTAGTAACTTATTAATTCTTACCTTTCCCGGAGGACATTTCATTTTCACACCTTCGTAGGCTATTAATCGATCTCACGTTGGATTTTAGAGTCTATCGCGCCACTTAGCTTTTGGGTTCCGCTTCAGCTAACTCATAATTGTTATCTGCAAGTTTCTGTAGATAGTCCAGATATATTTGTACGTTCGGATTCACATATTCGTGCTTACCTCTTTACAAAAAGGTGTTCCTTTTGATATGTTATGTTGTGATGAACTCCTTTTGGATTCACCCCTTCTGTTGTGATAAATCCTGAATGGGCACAGTAAATGGTGATGAGGATTCGCCTGTTGTTCTCTGTAGGCATGCATTCTGGCAGTTGGTCGAGGCAACAAAGTAGTCGAAGCTGTAGTGGACAGTGATGGTAAGACAGTTTTTAAAAGCAGTATCATCCATGTTTTGTCACTTCCTCGGATATCTAGATCAGTCTTGTTTCCACTTTCTTGTGTAGGCACCGAGAGGCCCGCGAGCGTTACAAAGATGCAGTTAAAGTTATCTGCTGACCATCGTGTTTTTGACGGAGAAATCGGAGGTATTACCTGAAAAATGATGAGGCTGAGGGTATCTTGTCTGCCAGTTAATCTCAAGTCGATCACTTTGGTTGTTTTTGCAGGCAAATTCCTCTCATCCTTGGCATTGAACCTGACCGATGTTCAGAGACTTTTACTGTAATGCAGAAATACCGGTTTCACAGATGCTCTTGGGCTACTGTTTAATGCTTGGCTTCATGAAAGTTTGGGAAATCGAGAGATCTCCTTCCACTTCGTCGTGGATACCGAACCCTCTGAACATTATGTCTAGGGGGGCACCTTTTCTTCGATTTAAGTTGATCCATTATTTTTCATCAGATCCCTTAGACATTATGCCTTGTGGGCAGTTTTATGTACCACGGGCTTTGTGAAAACAATTGGAATAACACGCCATTGGCCTTTTAATCAAGGCAACATAAATTATGGCCCTTGTTCTTGATAATTTTTTAGACTCGCTTCAAGAAAAGAGATGCCCAGCTGCAGAAAATAAAGTTCCAGTCGATCACTTCCCATGGAGAGTTGTGTAAACTCTTACAATCTCATGCTCCTTTGAACCCTGGACGACCAATTTGATCTACCGGACTCCGATTCGAGCCTACGATGCCAAGAACCATTGCTTCTCTTGACCGGGTGAGTCCCATACCTCACTCGTATGATCATCTTCCGTGCCATCGTTGGCCGCTAGAAAGGTTAAGTAGCCTACACCCCCTTTAGAAGTAACCGAGCAGGCTTTCGCACACACTTCCAAGAATGGAAGATTACTACACTCAACACCATGTACAAGCTTTCACTCTTTTCAGCATCGGGGGTGGTGAGCAGCACGCCCTGCAGCGACGGTAGCAGAAGCCTATCGCCGTCGCCCTCAGCATTCCTCAAAATGACCGAAACCGGCGTCTCCATTTACAAGGGAAGAAAAATAAAAAAGAACAAGCCTTTCCCTACAGTGGATCGATACTTCCGCTCTTGAGCCGCTCCATCCTGGCCTGGAGCCCCGACAATGCCTTCTCGTCCATTGGGAGAACACTGGGCTGCTGCGCTGGAGGCTCGACGTCACTGCGACTCACCTGATGTTGACCTGGTAAACCATGGTTTACGTTGCCGTTCACATAGAACATTGACCGATTGAGGCTTTCGATGTTCTCTGCAGCCGCTGCAGCTTGAATGGATCTCATTCTTTCTCTAATCGCATCCAGTGTCCCTGGGGTAACTGCAATAGCTGAGAAGTTTAGCATCAGCCCTCTTCTGAAGCAGGAACTATGGATGAAGATATGGGATGAGAAGGTGAGAGACGAACCGGCTGGCATGTTCCTATCAATCCGCTCATCTCCATGTTGGGGCTTGAACTCAGCCATGTCATTGGAGCCCCGCTCGGAGGCCATGGGCCCTACGCCGTAGTCTTCAGGGAGCGAGAGAGAGGGATTGTAGTTCGCATGGTCGGGCTTGGTAGCAAGAGACTTGGTATGCACGGGAGAGAGAGGGGCAAACTTTGGGGAGGGGATATTTAAAGCGAGGGGAGGAGGGGTGGAAATAGGTAGGCTTGAGGGAGTCCTCCCGGCAGCTGCATTCTTCTCCATCTGTGCACAGAGAACGTCTCGTGAATACTTTTTAGCTCTGGATGGTATGAGCCCAGAAAGAGAGAGAGAGAGAGAGAGAGAGAGGAAGACTTTTTGGCTGACCTGAACAAGCCCATCCCTTATGTAGGTGCGGAAAGCCTCGCTTGCATTCTGGAGCTGAGAAAATATATCAACCTGCAGAAAGAGAACGATTGATTCATTGGGAAAATGCAAAAGAGAACCACGGGATGGAATGAAAGAATCACGAGAGTCCACGAATCTACCTTGGGGTACAGCTGGGTGATGCGATATAGTTCGTACAGACCAATAGAACAGGTCTGTTTGTCACCGATCTTTTTGAACACCGCAGCGAGTTCTTGCTGCATCCACAGTTCAACCCCACTCGAACATTAATTACTCACTTTTTTTATGAGAAATTTGACTAATTGAAAGTAAATAACATTAAACCTATGCCTTCAAGAAGGCAGATAAATAAGGGAAGGAAATACCTTCAGCTGCGCATCAGCGGAATGTGTAGTGGAAGCTGGACTATTTGAAGCAGAATCCCCCCAATGGCTTTGCCCCATTGGAACAGATGGAGTGAGCATTCGGGCTGCAGCAAGGGTCTGATAGAGCAATGAAACAACCAAGTATCAGGTGCATCGTGCACGAAAGTAGATTTCTGTGACATGATAACCAAATGCTAACATACGGCTAGGTTGGCAAACATAATAAAGCCAGTGTTTACCTGAAGGTTCAGGTCTATATATGCAAGAATGATCGGCTGAGGTTCCGTGTCTATCGGAACCATGGACAAATGACCCTTAATTGCCGTTCCACGAAGCTTTACTAGTTCATGGAGAACAGTCTTAACCATGCGTAATGGTTTGTCGTCGGCACCAGCCCTATATAATATAAATAAAGCTACAAAAGTTAAAAATAAATATAGAGGATAAGACTGTATAAATATGAAAGTCATTAGTTCATCGCAGCCACCTTCTCCGAATCTCTTCCATCCCCAGTTCTTGCAAATACACGTGAATGCTTTGAAGAATGCGATCGAGATCCACTTCAAAAATCGTGCTCTGGAGGACCTGGCAGAAATTTTAATCCCAAAAGAGTTAATTCACTGATGATCTACGGTACAGAGAACAGACACGGAAAATGGAACCGACTGAAAGCTCGTACGAGAAAGTCACCTTTGTGAGTTTAATTAGGCATTTGACGACTAGTTCGGAGAACTTCTGGTTCCGAGAAGCGGTGGTCTCACTGGATGGAGGAGATGGCCACCGTGAAGGGTCCAGTGGCCTCAACAAGTTAATCAGAACGACGAAGGATGAAGTACGTTCGGCATTGTCCTGCACCAGTAATTTTGGCAGTATGGATGAAATAACAGAAAGCTCTTACGGCCTAATAAATATAGAGTAGACAAACAGAACATATCCCTACTAGTATTTTAAGCATCAGGACATTCAGCGCTTTTAAGAGTTGACTGCCATCATCCATCAAAGGAACCCTTTCATCTAAGAGCCAGAGAAGGAGTTCCGTGATGAGATTATCAAGAGTACGCTCCCTCACAGCATGAGCCAACCTCTTTATCTGGAAGGTCTGCAGATCAAACAAAAAAAAAATTGATGTTCCGAAAAATAAATAAAGACTGATTGCTTATATCTACAAAGAGTAACTAGGCAGATGTCTCTCTACCTGCATGAGAGTGTTCAGAACGTATTTACATGACCTTGAAGATGCCCCAGCAAGGCTAAAACCAAAGGTCTTGGGCACCTGCCAAAGTTAAGTTTACATCAATAGAACACTGGGGCGTGGATATTTTTGATATCATAGGCAAGTTATAAAAAAGAAATTACCATGTTTGCAAGGCATGAGACTAGTCTATCTGCCTCTTTGACAAGATCATCTATTATGCTACTTTCTGGATCTGCTGTTACTTGATTTAGCTCATGGCAAACAACTTTCATGCCTTCAACTGACTGCACCAAACCAACATATTTTTCAGGAGTTTTCTCTGCGTGGTTACTTAGTAGAAGAACAAAATGAAATAGAAATAAAAGTAATGAAGGTGACACTGAAGCAGACAAAACTAAACTCAGTTATCCCAGAAGCAGGCAAGAAGTTTATGATTAAAAATAGTCTCTAGATTTTAGGTTTCTAAAAAAGAGTCTATGAAGTTCATTCTACGATCCCTTATTACATTGGAATAAACTGTTTCGTGTTTAACAATTACATCGCTGCAGAGGCACCATAAAAGCAATGGCTGCTACCGAGGTAATCTAGCGGCCAGAAAGAATAGGAAGGAATCAGAATGCAAGGATACAAGGATGTAAACTAAGTTAAAAAACATAGTAAACGAAAAGAATTAAGTTCCAGAAGAGAACAAATCTGAATATTCCATACAAATATAAGAGCTTTTTACACGAAGCAGGCACTCTATATCTTCCTCCACTTGGATCTTTAAAAAACAATAAGCAGGAAAGAAGATAGGACCAGTGAGGAGAGGAGGAGATGGCAAAAAATTCCAAAAACCAACTGCAGAGTTGCCAAAATTCGCTAGTTAGCTCAGAGGCTGGAGACTTGGCCTGCATTCTTGCAGAGGCAATGGAAAGATGAAATGGAATGGCACATAACAGAGTCATGGGACGGTACTAAAACAGATTATTGATACCCTGGGTAACCGAGTGCTTGAGGCTAAGGTCTCTTTAATCAACTTTTTCTATATAACACCACGGGAATGGTAGATTGACATCGTTGGTGCCCAGAATGGGATCTCTGTCTCGTTCAAGTTGATAGGCGTCCCTTTCAACTAATGGAGCCCAGAAGCTCACCAAGATCTCTCTTTATGAAGAGAACAGAATTGTAAAACTCTAAATAGAAAATGTCACCAATATGCTGACTTCATCTCGAAAATACTGACTTCAACCCAATGTCACATATGATTTTAATCGGAGACAGGATGTTACTTGAGCAAAAAACGCATTAGGACAAGGATGTCTGCATTCTTTGTGAGAAAAATATGAAAGTTTACTGAAAGTATGCCTGTACCCAGGAAGCGTGAATTTAAGCACACGAGAGGGAAAAAATAAAACAGAACAAAAAACCCTAAAATAGAAAAATTAAAGAACCGGATTCGATTTTGAAGATTATAACTGCTCATCAGTTGGTAATGGAAAATTAAACTAAAATGCTTCTTAGACACGCATCACCGCATTCTCTCATGTGGAGCCTGGGTAAAAATGAATCTATCTTATGAACCCAATGTCTAACGAATCCCTTGATTCCCTCAAATATTACAGATGCTTTGATCCTGACTTATCAGCTAGTAGAGAGTATGATACTAATGGAACGCGCCTGTCTCTAATTATTATGGTTGGCTGATATTGCGCATATATTTCCCCCATGAGCATCTCCATTCGTGGCTATTCCATTTTTTAATATGGTGCAAAGATGTCCGCCCTCTTACATATAAAATAAAGCAATCCCTTAGCATCGTTTTGGTGAATACAATAAAGTCAGCGGTTAGATTGCATGGCTCAATCATACTTGTAGGCAGCAAGGTGACACCTAGTTTTACAGATATGAAGAAGAAAATATATGAATATAAATAGTATTTATAATGAGAAAAGTGTAAGTAAATGTCAATAAATAATAAGCTTGGCCATGCTAAATAACTGAATATAGATAAAAAATAAATAAAAAAATTAGTGAAAAAATTAATCATCATACTAGCTATTGATAGAAAAATAGTATAATCCATGTAAACAACAAGTTATTAACGAAAAATTTTCTTTTGTGAATTCATTTTGCTGAATTCAAATGCACACGCTATCACAAATCCACATTCGCATTCCTAGACAAGCTAACAGCGTCCATTCAGTACATTCAAGTTCAGATTGCTCATGAACATCTGGCTCACACTATTGCCTATGTTACATCTTCAGTACTATGAAAAACACGTTCAAATGCAAACACAAAAAATCTACATAACAAAATGTGACAAAATAGGAACCAAGAAAAGAAAATGTAATCGAAGAAAGATAATACCTGCTCGGGAGAACCTAAGGAAATGATATCTAAAGCTTCACGCCAATCTAAAGGTCCATTTGCAGCAACTAGTGTTCTTGATATGATATGTTGGTCCATGTCATGGTCAACATAATTCGTATCCCTCCCACTACAAATCCATAGGTATGTATTGGATCAACCGAATACTGGCAATCATAGCCAATCACTAAATGAGAAAAAATAGCAATGTTCTATCTGAAATGCCAAACCTGGCTAAAGCAGATGACAATACAGAACGTGAGAGAACTTCTCCACTTTGCTCTGCTACATCTAACCTGTTCATTTAAAAAGATAAGTTAGATAATGACAGGATCATAAAATAAAATGAAAATTCAATATCAGATCAATGAGAAATGCAAAAAATAATCAAATATAGTTGAAGAAAAATACAGACCCATTATCTCTAATAGAGCGCCTTAAAGCTGCCCTAGCATCTCCAGGCTTTCCTTCCCTTCTCTTATCCATTTCCCTTGCCTATTTAGGGTACGTAAATGAAAAATTATATGAGGCGACACTAGATAGCAAAACGAAAAGAGAAGAAAATTTTCTACAAACCTTCCATTTGAATCTATCATCCATCATGCTTTTTTGAGCATCTGATAGTTTTCCAACATATCTCCAAATATCCTCACCTATTTCCGGGAAACGACAGAAAAAAAAAATCAGATCAACTATTAGTCGAATACAATTTGGTATTGTGGAACACCATTGGCTACAGAAGATGGACTTAAGTGCAAAGATTCATGAGAAAAATAAATTGCTGTTAAAAGACAGAAGGAGAGAGATATGGACATCAAGATTAGCTGTGGCACTTAAAATGAAAGGGCTTCCTGACGAGCTGGAGGGTGTGATCCCTTCGGCATCATTAGGCAATATAATGCCCTTTGCCGTGACATTATCACAGATTATTGCTAGAATGAAGCTCAGAAGGAACCTGCGGCCTGCTACAGGAAGTTGATATCCCTTTGGGAACAGAAGTCTCCAAATAAAGTATCTTATTTGGTTGAAGTGAAAAAAGAACTTTCTTGATTATTTGTTCGAATTGGGTGCAGAAGTACGTTAAGCTAAATCTGGACAACGATTAAGGGATGAATCTTATTTTATTTTTGGACAATTAGCTCTGTGAAGACTAAGAGTATTTTGAATCGTAAAACATCTCTATATATTCAAGTTTGTGGCCATTTTGGCTTCAGCTGGTTGATCTTACATGAAGCCTTTGGAATTCTAAGTCATTTCAATGCTCATATGGTGATATAGGCCACTGATGAGGATGTAAACACTTTGAGCACAGATTTTCTTCCATATGCCCAGCTAAGGTTCAGAATTGAAGCTCATACAACTAAACATATTCCAGTGAATGATGGGGATGGTGATTCAAATCTTTGGGCGTCTAAAAACCACTCGTCTTCTGACCAAAGAGGACAAGGGGTGCTCTAAAGACAGGAGGCGTAGGTTACAGTCATAGCAACATACCTGTAAAGGAAAGAACAGAGCTGACAGAAGAAAGGACCTAAAAGTAAAATCACCCAGAAAGAGATTGGCAAGGAAGTCAAATTGGAATTAGTCTGAATCTGGTGAGCAGAAAGATGGAAGTCATTTTCAGTCAAGTGAGTCACCAACTGGAAAGTGACGTCCTTTTGTTGAGAAAAAAGGTTCCTCTGGCCATCAATAAAACTAGGGGGGAAAATGTTAATCAGATCGCAAAATCATTCAATGAAATTCCATTGAACGCTTAAGACATACCGAGAATCTTGTAAGCAGTGGTCAAAGTATTTAAGGCAGCTTTCCTAATTTCGCCATCGCGCTCTGACGTCAAAGCAGCAACAAGTTGCAAGGACTTGAACTGTCCACTAACCTGTCGAAAGGAATGATGTCACATTAAACTTCTATTCACCTGACACTTTGTAACAACTATAAACATTGGCAAAATACCTCAGTTCCGTGATGATCGATTAGAAACCCAACAAGCTCGACACACTCAATCCGAGTTCGGTTATTTTTTGAGCGCAAACCCTCTGCGGCATAAGAGAATAGCTTTGAAGCAGAGTAAACAAGAACAATTTGCTTTGTGAGTTCCCGCATTTTCTCTCTCACTTTTTCAATGTTATGCCCCGACTGCAATGTAAATAGTAACACGAGAATTAAAGGCCTGAAAAAATTAATAACCCTCTAGAAATGGAAGACAAACAGAATGAAAGACCCGAACAACAGTAGATTCACAAATAAAATATTGGATAAGAAATAAAAATGCAGAAATAATAGAAACGCAAAGGGACCGTGTGCATGGAGGGTAGAAAATCCTGTCAAGAACGCACTTTTTCTATCAGGCATGGAAGAAATATTGCTGCTTCAGACTCTGTGAGAGCATAGCCCTCGTTCTTCAAGGTGTGAATAAGCTCAGGAAGAAACTCAAGCACCTGTTAAAAAGGTTGATAATGAGAAAATACTTACAGGAGAATCATACACATCGAAACGAAATAAAGTTACCTTCAGCAAGCAAGTTGTGTTAGATTCACAGAATCGCAGAACAAACCACCTTAAAAGTATATCAACAAGCTCAATTATTTCCTTGGAGTTAGACTGGAGAGCCTGTAATAAAGCTAAGAATTAAAAGAACAAATAGAAGAAAGAAAATGCAAGTTGGGAAGGATTAAGCAGATCAACAAATTCATTGACTTTCAGAGATAGTGAAGTAGTTGGCCTCATTACCTTCTGCAGCATCTCAAGCCCATCAACTTGCTTCTTGAAGTCTGTGCTCAGAAGCCGCCGATGTAGATCTTCTCTGAAGTACTTCATCAAATCATACTACAACAATTTAAAAGCCATGTGCATGAATTCATGAAGTCCTGTCATTGTTTGTGACACAAATGCACTGAATTCCTATGTGATCCAACGTTGCATGCGAAAACTCCATGATCCGAATCCAATCAACATGATAAAATCTGACCTCATATTCACTTTATATACAAGGGATTTTAATTATATATATATATATATATATATTTGCATGTAGAGTAAAGAATAAAATTTGAAGTCACTTTTTTTTTGCACATAAGTTAAGAACATAGAAAACGTAGTGTTACTCTTCATGTAGCATGATTACCATCCAGACTTCTCATCCAACTAAGAATAAGTAGGTGAAGAAGCGTTACTGTCAATGAAGACCACTACTGCTCCAATCCCAAACTAGGCTACCAGGCCTAACCTAAAAATCCACCTAAACTTCTCCCAGACAGCAACCCAAAGATTAATATCACTTTTGTCTTCATTATAACATGAACTCCTTATTCGAGAGAGTTTCAGCAACTATGAATCAATAAAACTAAGAAACCAATTGGAGACGAAACGAGTACCGCAAATCCACTATGTTAAGAATCTAGAGCTATTGATCAGGAAGATCGACCTCTTTTGAAGAAGATAGCATAGATAGGGCATGCCTCGATCATACCATAGAGGTTGTATAAAAAAAGGTTGATTGCTAATAACCGAAGGCGGGCGAGAACAGGAAACATGGCACTACTTTAAAAAAATAACGAATGATGACAGCAAGGGAGACGGTAATAATAAGCAACACGAGAATAACGAATTGGTCAACAGATAAAAAATTTCCAACCTCAAGATCTTGAATCTGCTCAGGTCGCGGATCCTCAAATTTAAACCTTCGAATAACCAGCCTTTCTCGATCTTCCTGTCAAGTTGAATAGATAAACGGCAAATGAGACATCCATGATTTCGCACTTATATCTTACAATAAATAGATCTACATCCAATACCACCTTGCATGAATCTTTTATATTAAATAAAGCCTGAGATTGAAGAGCAAGATCTTGAACAGATGCTATTGAGTCTGACTTCGAAACCCTTGTAGGGATGGCTCTCTGTCCAAATGGAAGATATTTCGATAAATAACCTCATGCAAGAACACGATAAACAAGGAAGAGAGGTAGAGAGACAACGTTACCCTGCTTCCAACCTTTGATCCACGGTCAACACCACTAATTAATCCCGATTTTCCGGTCTTTGAGTTTACCTTAGGCGCCAAACCATTAGATAATCTCGTAGATTCTGGTGCATCTGACCCAGTAAAACATATAGCAAATGATATAAAAAATGAATCACAAACATAACGATAGATCATTTTGCAAATCAAACGCAATATTATCATTCACAAATGAAGATAAGACAATGAAGGCCACGATGAAGAACCTTGGGGAAAACCAGAGGGTTTAAATCGTTCAAGAGCAAGAGACAAAGCAGGTCCACGCATATCCTTAAGATTCTTCATCACCTGAATGAAAGGAATTCATCAATAGTTGCACCTAGATTCATTGCAAGGATAACAATTAACATGATTAGTATGAATGAAAATAAAGCTTTTAAAATCAGTTTAATACACACCATTTCTTGACCGCAAATCCTCAAAACTAGAGAAAATGAAACTTCAGCAGATTTTCTAACCTCTCCAGATTTGTCCTACATACATAAGATACCAGTCGTACCTCAAATATTTTATGAAAACAAAGGACATGGGTAAAGAGTAAAATTGATACACTCAAAGCAGCAGCAGTAGGCTTCAATAGGTGCAAAACTTCAGATGGATCAACTGTGCCAGAAAGATGCTTGGACAACCAGTCAAAGAGGTCTTTTCGCCCCTCCGCACTAAGCTTTGACTCAGTCAAAGAATTTATGATGTATGGAACCTAGAATTCCCAGGAACAAAGGACTCAGAACCGAACTTAGTCAAGTGACAATTATTTGTATTGTGAAAAAAAATACCATTCGATCAAGTTGAACAGCTGCAGCCCACGAATCTAAAGTATTCAATGTACATTCCCGCATATGTTTCTTATTGTCGCCAAGGCATTTTAAAACATCAGATAAGATGCCCTGTCAGAAAAATGGCATATTATTCTCAGGATACTACATAAACAAACAAACAAAAAAAGAATTAGACTGACTACTGAATTTGAACCTTGCTTGATTTCTCAACGGCTGGTCCCATGGCAGATGCAATACAAGCAATAGTAGTCAATGTTGCCATCACTAAATTCTTGTTGCTATCACAAAGGCGACCTCTGAGAGCAGTAAACAACTCGGCTGTCAAAAAAAAGAAAAAATAAGCAGGATTATTGACGATTTCATACGGGTTCCACAAATAAGAGAACTAGCATATTTATTAAGAGACATCCAATCAAATTTCTTACTGGTCCCAGTAGGTTGAATGCGTCTGTTAGCTTCTTCCAAAATTTTGTTAACAGACTCAATTGACTCTAGGCGCACCTACATAAACCAGATTTCTTATCACACGAGGCCATCATGAATTATACCACAAAGGTTGTAATGTAATTACCTTCCAGTCAGAACTGCCAAGGTTCTTTAGAAGATTTGGGGTGATCTTCCCACTAATATCCTCACGAGGCAGACCATCAAGTCCAGAAGTCGCTGGCAAAACAGAATCTGATAATTTCACTATTTTCTTTGGTGCTGCTGCTGCACCCTGCCAAAGGCGAGAAAGTTGACTGAATAAATAACTGAAATAGCACAGGTTTTTATAGAATTTTATCGTACTCCTAATTCAATGTGATTTGAACATCATACCTCATAGGGGTTTTTCTCATACTCCACATCCAATGTGCTGAGAAGTGCAGGTTTCACATCAGTCAGGAAGTTCTTAATATCTGCAACGTTAACATTTTTATAGAATTAGACTCTTAGGAATTAATGAAACTCCCATTTCATGATGAACGAGACGTTACCTGGGCCAACAAACTTGTGCAATACTCCAATTAGTTTAATAGTGGAATTTCTTGTTGCAGCAGCACTAGATTGGAGTCCAGTATCTTTGCAGAAATCAATCAAATCCTGAAAAAGGATGAAAGAATATTATGACTTAGACAGAAGTGAAATAAGACAGGTGATGAAAAGATGTTGAGTAAACAGAAATAACAGGAATACCTTCAGCTTCAAATGAGAAATACCAAAATCTTCAACAGCGGAAACCATCCATAGAATTCCCTCACTAAGAACCTTGGGATTTTTATGCTCTTTCATGATTTTGTAAAGCTAGGCAATAGCAATCAGTATTCATCAATATCGACATTTGAGGATTGAAGACGCATGAGATTGAAGATAGGAAGCCAACAAAAGAGAGTCGTATTACTTTACCCGCTCAAAAACAAAACCTGGACCAACTGCCTCAGAAAACGATGTAAGGCATTTCATTGCATGACTTCGGGTTTTAATGTCTGCAACACGTTCACTTATGCCTGCAGATTTAAAGAAAACTCTCTCATAAAATTAAACTATTAAATAAACGCTAGTAAAAACCCACACGTTATATACTTATAGGCTACAACCCACAGGGATTACAAAATATCAGTCCATCGTACCTAGAAGGCAGAGAACAACACATCGTTTAGGGAATCTCTTAACGCTGGAAGCGAGATATGTAACAACTTCAATGACTTGTTGTTGGACCTGTACATTTTTCTCAGCCCATCCAGGAATTGCACAAAGCAAACGAATCAAGAGCTCAGCTGACTGGTCGAGGTCCCCAAGAGTTTCAACGGATTGTTTAAGCAAGACAATTGCTGCAAAAATTACAAAACTTGATCATGTAATTATATATCAAAATACAGACCGACTAAGATTCAGGTGACCATATGAACTGCAAGAATAAACACAGATTTTTAATAAAGAAATTACAAAAAAATTGGGTGGATGGTAAAGAAAGTAATCTACAAACAAACTATCACAAGAAATAGAAAAAAACTGGAAATATTTAACAGAACAACTTCAATTGTAATTTCAAAATATTAACACCTTCAAGTCGTTCTTTCCAAACACTACTCTTCAACAGAGAAATGGTATCAGCTGAAACAACGGACCCTATTCTTGCTTCAATTTCCTCAAGACTCATCTCCGAAGGCTGCAAATGAAAATAAAGTAACTCAGACAAGCACAACCATAGCAAATGTTAGGCTTGACAAGATTCGCAGAGAATTGGATGCTCCACCTCTACATCTTCAATTTCAACCACTGAAGACTTTGACTGTCCAATTCCATCGGCCTTTTTCATTGGATTCGTCTTTGTCGTGCCACCTTTCTTATTATTTGACTAATGACATAGCAAACTAATACGAGTTAAACCACCCAAGAAACGAACTCGAAATATAAATTTCCAATGATCGAGTGAAGGGACTCACAGAAATCTGGACAGCTTTCTTCCCACTGAGCATGCTTGCTGCAGACCTTCTGACAAGAGAGGCCTCAGTTGCCTAGACATTAATCAAAGCATGTTATGTTGAAAAGATATACAAATAAAAAAGCGTCTCATGAATGTCCAACACGTGCATCAACAATGACGATTGTAAGGAGAGTAAACATGAATGCACTAGATAGACCTGAAGGTATGGAAAATTAAAAACACCCACCTACAGGATAACACAGAGCGAGACAAAAGATGACAAAAGAAAACTGAAATTCAATAAGAAGAATGTTAACTGAAAAACACTTTCATTTCACAACAGAACCTAAATTGTAAAATCATCAAGACCTTAAGCCATAACACAACTAAATTGTAATGACAACATTAATCACACAAGTATTTCACTCACGAGGAATTTACCATTTCCTAAAACGAACATGGAAAATAATGTGATCGTGAATCTTAAGCTATTAGGATGCACCAATATCTACTAAAACACAACTTTTTTTTTCCCCGACTCATGGGAAGAAATAAACAGAAACAGAAGTCTACCTCATGTGAGGACAAGGCGCTACCAGACTTTATGGCCAAACCTGGGAATGAATTAAAAAACAGTGTCAAAATACATTACAAATGGTACCTATGCAATAAATTTAGAAGAGAACGAACAAAATTCAAACCATACCAGCCTGACTTCCCCCGGAGCTTCCAATCATTTCTGAAAGCTTCTTTTTTCTCACATCATCAAGTTTCTCTAGAGATCTTTCCAACGGCTTCATACCAACCGACTATAAAAACAATGAATCATTAAGAGCATCAAGTCCACGTAATCTGAAAATATGGAAAATGAGCTGAGCAGGCAATACCGTAGCAATAGCTGCCAAAGCCGCAAATGCTGCATCTCTCACATCTGGCGTACCATCATTTAGACACTGAAAAAAGGAACATGAAATAAACAACGTTTATCCAAATGAAATTTCAAAACTATCTCATATTCTGAGGCCAACAGGGCCTAGAGTAACCAGGAGAAAAGCATGAAACAGATTGCACTGACCTCCATACAAATGGGAATGTATTCCTTGTACAACTTAAGAACAACCGCTTTGTTACTTGACTCAATACAAGATGTCACCCAGTTTAAAGTCAAGGACCGCACAAGTGGAACTTTATTTTTCACAGCTACTTTAACATCTGCATTGAAGAAGAAGTAGCATTTATAACCATTTATAATAAATAATTGGAAAACATTACAGGAAATGTCTTTGGCGAAATAAAGCAATTCAATGAAACTAATGAAATATGCAAATTATTAGTTTTCCGACTTAAGTCAGAATGCCGACAGCTGTCGAAAAATAGCTCAACCAACCATAGAGGACGACCTCATATCATATCAACAAACAGCAAGCTAAATTATCCCAAGAGATAGGCTTCCGACAGCAACACACGTGGCTAAATTGTCTTTTTTATTACTTAAAACAGTCAAAATCCAAGGAAAGCCTACAGAAAACAACCAACACTCAGTCCCTTCTACATTTTCACTTGATCACCACCACCAAACGACCTGCTCCATCTAATCTCTCCATAGCATTATCTAATAAGGTTTATACCAAATAAATCCAATGAGACATTAGCAGAACAAACAGCCTCACCAGACTAGCATACCAATACCCAACTAACCTGATTACAAGGTTCGAGCGAACACATACTATGAACAAATAAGCAACAAATACATCCATCATGAGATAGAAATGACTTATCAATACCAAAAAGCTTGAATAAAATTGTCACCTTAAGCAAACTGTGACAAACAATAAGGTTTTCGCATCAATGGTACACAACATAAGGCACTCACAATAAGAATACACCTCTGGGTTTCAAAATAAAAAAATGTTCCTTTTACGTCTTCTTACTTTTTTCTGCAACTAAAAGGCATGGACACAAGATCCCAACCACTTTTTTCTGCTTCCACTGCACTGAAGTTGAACTTTTCTTTCATTAGAGGGGCAGGAATAAAGGGCACGAGGACAAGTGGCCTGCCACGAGTTAAACTCAAGACATTGTACACGAAAACAATGTTTCCACTCGACAAAGAATTCAACCGTTTCCTATTTCCCTTTTTTCTGTTTCGTGTCTTCACTTTCGGTTTAACCTTTAGAAATACCTCATTGTGATTGTTTTTTTCGATTTATCAAACAGTGTCGTAACAGCTTCAAAAGCAACATTGTCTGAGAAACAGGCAGAAGACAACCACACTTCCTAACCAATAACCTCCCCTTCCAGGAAACCTAGCTGATTATGGATGAGAGACTAGGTGCCCTCTTTTCTCGGGAAACAGAATGTAAAATCACCCTTGCTCAACCTTGGCACTTCCAAATTTATTTCCAACAGCAGTTAAAGTGAAGCACTTAATATCCCTACAGGCAGCAATCCTCACAGCAAAAGAAACCTATAGATCGTTATAATTTTTATATACCTTCTGTGAACACAATCCACTGATCAGGAATTGTGGATACAGAGATCAAAATGCTCCTTTTAGTTCCAGTCCAGCCAATAATAACGCATTGATAAAGCTTTAAAAAACAGAGTCATGCAGTAGAAAACACAATAAAGCAGTCTCTTGAAAGGCAGCACCTAATCATTCACGGAGTAAAAGAATAACTTCAATCAACAGTCCTACTCCCTTAAATCTATAAGATAAGGGTTACTGAGCGTGCCTTCGACAACATCAGTCAGAGTGAAACAACCAGATTGATGCATAGCTTGAAGAGTCTGAGTAAGAGCATCCGTCATAACTTGTTTCTTCTCCTTGAGTTTTTCCTGTAGAAAAAAAGGCAAAATAATTGAAATATATTATACAATGATACACTGATCTACCCTCCAACACTGGCTGATAGAACAAGGGAAACGTATTGACATAATGTCCTAACATGACCCATACGACTTGGCAGCTCAAAGCAGACTATAATTTTAATATTTATCTTATGAGCATTAGAAAATTATAACTGAAAGAGAGATAAACCAAAAAACCAACAGCAGCGGTCTTATCCAAATATCAAAACCAGGTAATTTGACAAGTAGATAACATAAATAATCCATTTAACGTTTTGACATACGAGTAATGTAGGCAACAGAAAGCGGGCACTCCCAGAAAAATGGTTTCGTAATCCTCGAGCCAAATTCCCAATTGCTTGAATAGCTTCCACAGAAACAGCAAGATTCACATCTGTGATGAGCTGTCAACAAGGAAAAGAATTCAGTGCGAAGCACAGTCATTCAGTATATATTGTCCATTTCACAAGGGAGAATGAGAAAAGACAAAAAACGCCATCATCAATCTTTGTATCATGTGGCCACTGATGAAGACACCAATAATCAGTAGACAATAGAAAAATACGTGCAAGAAAATAATGTCAGCCAGACGTGTTTACCTTCTTCAAAGTTCGACAAATTTCAGAAAAATCTCCAGGAGCAATTTTTTTTGTTGAAGCAAGCTTGGTAAGTTCCACAATGGCGTCCCTCCTCTCAGACCATTTGGTCGCTTTCTGGATGGCAACAGAAATGCAGTAAACGATGTGTGAGGAAAATGCTCTAGAAGACAAGCTCACTGTAGAAGCAGGAAGAGACTAACCACTCCATCCCAAAATCCCGACTTCTCAAGAGGAGCCAGAATGTCAACAGGATCAACTAAGTCATATTCGTCTATTTCAGGCTCTGCATACATTAGAATACCACTCAAGACATCGTAACATCTGTATTGGCTAATAAAATTGCTCAAAATATTCACTGAAAATGAAAGAAGACATGCAATAGATCTAAGCACATGACATCCTACCATCAACAACAGACTCCTCACAGGGACCAGCACCAACTGTTTCAGTGACTACTTCCGTCTCCAATTCTTTATCTTGCTCGGATCTATAAAAGAAAACAATATATTAAAATAGCTAGTACACAGGTTAGAAGTATATTCGTATGTAAACTTCAAAGTCAACACGAATCAGGTTATAGCCCCCTTTCAAGACGAAATCATACATTCGTAAGCTTCTTGGATGTATTCGTGTGCTTCTTGTATGCACTCACTGTACGATGATTAGATATTCCTACACTAAATTTTTCATATTTTCAAAAGCAACTTCGTCTCTTGAGAACCTCATGACATCCAATTATCCAAGAGATGCTCCATATTTTACAAGGACCTGATCCATTCGTACCCAAAGGACAATAACGCAATTTGAAAGAAAAGGCTATATCTAATCCAAACACTTCCTTAAGATTTGAAATAGGAAAAACGTTTGAGGCTATTGGAAACAAATATTATCAAAAGCCTTAGCATGTAAATGTCTAACGTAAAAATACTATTGAAATACACAGAATAATTCAGTATGTAAGTTCATATAGCAAAATCCTTAGAATGTCTACCTTATCTTGCGGGTTGGTTTAGCGCTCCCAGTTACATTGGAAAGCTCAGCTTCAAGCTCTTTTTTCTTCACACATGACGCAAAATATATATATATATTTATCAACCTATGGACAAATAAGAGATAGAAAATATGATTTACGTGCAAGCTTCTTACCATTGTATCACGCATTTTATCAAAAAGAATTGACTTCACAGGATCCTTCCCAATCCAACGACACAGTTCAAGTGTTAGTCCTTTGGAGGATGCACGAACATTCTGATCTTGATGATCAAAAAGTTCAGGAAGCATTTTCAAAATCTTCTTAGGTGGAACAACTTTTGCACCAAACTCACTGCATATTGACACATGAGGACAATATGATCGAGAAAGAATTAGAAACAAAGGAAAAAAATCATTTGCCTATAAAGCATATGCAAATTTTAGCAAACCTAAGTGCTTGGAACATGACATCAATAGCTGGCACTACTGCCTTGGCAACTTTATTCTTTATTGCCTTCTCCATTGCTTCCTAAAAAACAAAAGTCATGATTAAGTATTAAAGATGCAAGAACATAATTAGGCAAAAATAAGGTCAATATCACGTCGCTCATAAGCCATAAAATAACACGTATTCCAATTATCTATACACTACTAAATGTAATCGACATCCAGTATCCAAACTAGCAGCTAACTTTGCATGGCACGCAATAACATATCTGTGAAAAGTGTGGACAGTAGCAACAGAAACATGAGAATGCATTTAATCTAAGTGACAGAACCGCAATCTCCTTACTAAGAAAGCATCCGTTGCCTCCAGCTCCACCCAAAGAAGGAAAACAGCCTGTGCCTTCTCCACAGTCTTTGGACGACCAGTAAGGCATTTGGCGATGATGGCGTCACAGACTTCCTTTGCATATCTGTATCAGAGATTAATCAATGAAACCAAATTGATGGACAAACAATAAAGAAGGAAGATACGTGGAGACATGTGGAGCAAGTGAGATGCGGAGAGATCAGACAAATATTACCTCCCAACTTCTGCATCTGCTACCCGTAAAAATGCAATGAGAGCGTCGAGGGCCTTTTCCTGGACTGGAGCATTCGAGTCGGCGACCGTCTTTTTGAAGAGGGGTCCTGATTCAGGAAGATTTTATAAAAAACCTTAGAGGCATCATGATCCGCGCTGAGCACCAGCCTGAACACAAAATTACGAGAGGAAAATTCTCCTTTCGGAGAACATTTCGGTGTAGGAGATGAAAGTTGAAATTAAGTTTCCAAAAAAGTGGCAACGAAATTGGTCCTCGTCCTCCAGAGCAGGACGGTGTTTCACCGACCCCGTCAAATCCATCAAACTGCCAATGCAGTGCATGAATCCGCATGGCATCGACAGATTAACCGATGGCAGCGCAAGATCACATTTGAGAGGACGTACAAATATGAATCCAGCGAGGATAGGGCCGTTACCAAAATCTCTAAGGCGGGAATCCTTGGGATCGGTGATGGAATCGCAGACCGCGGCGAGGTCAATGTTCGCGTCGTTTCTGACCTTCCAGTTCTTGTGGAGCAGCCGCTCGTCCCACGGCAGCTTCTTCGCCTCCTTGAGCAACTTTTCGTCCTCCGTAGACATTGGAACCCCCCTCCACCTCCGCCACCTCCCTTAGCGAGGCCCTCCAAAAGAAAATTTAAGAGCCGGAAGAAAACCTAATGAGCACGGCTCCCTCCCTCCCTCCCCCTTCTCTCTATCTCTCTCTTCTTCCAGAGTTCCTCCGCGGACGAGGAACAAATCGTAACACAACAAAGAAAAGAGGGAAGCGACTGAGGTAGATCGATAGAGAGAGAGGAGAGAGGAGAGACAGAGACAGAGACAGAGAGAGAGAGTGGCGGAAGAGGAGGAGAGACGGGAGATTTCCGCTGGGTCTCACACGTGCGACGGCGCGAGGTGTTAGGTTGTGTGGGACGCATTTGGGATCTCCTGAGCGACGGATCGCACGTGCGAGAGGGACAGTGGAGCGTCGGTTCCACCTAAGCGTGCGCTAAAAAATTTCAAAAACTTTCGCCTCCTCCTGGCCGTGCCGGGAGCCGTTCGGCCTGCGGTAACTTGTTCCCGCGGTAACCCTGCCTGCTCCGCCGAGTGTAGTTGAGAAACCGGAACGTGCCGGGATTCATTGTCGTCTTGGACCTGGGATCCGGGCAACTAAAACTGGACCGTGGGAGGAGCAGATGCGGTCGGTGTCGCCCCCACTGCAAATCTTCGGGTTGTTGTGCTGGGGCAGTCCCCGTGACAGCGAAGCTTTACTCACCGGGCTCACGAGCGACGCATCGCCTTTTTGTCCTCGACCTCCGCCATCGCCGTTTAGGATTCGAGGTCCCTCCGAGCTCCATCTAGACGCTGATTCTCTCGCCGCAGGGCGGCGCCTCCGCTCCTCTGTTCGATCCCCGCGATGATGCAGGAAAACTGGAAGGAGGAGGCTACAGGAGGCTTCGTCCGAGCGAAGAATTTGCCCTCAGGAGCAGCCGGATTCCATTTTCCGGTGGAATAGGGGAGCAGGATGGAGGTAGCTACGACGTCGTGATCTTCCTTGATGGCAAATTCTGCAGGTGTACTTGCTACATCAGTACGTCCGAAAATCAGAATCAAAAGGGTTGAAGAGGATCTTTCCACAGAAAATTCAACGGGATGGATTTGAAGTCTTGTCTCCCTCCCCATACGAGGAAAATTAAATAATTATTTCAAAACCTCCCCGCAATACTGCATCAGTGTGTTATATATTACAAGATCAATGCGTGAAAGCATGCGTTCTGACGGTGACAGCCCGGGGATCCAGCAGCCATTCGTCAGCAAGAGATCCACGTATCCTAAAGACTCAGTCAGAAATGATCAACGAACTCGCCCAGATGGTGGTGTCTCAAGGTTTCCATGGCGCAGGAGGCGGAGGTGGGGTCGGAAACATTGGAGGAACGGCTGAAAAAATCGTGTTCTTGTCGATGCCACTTGCCTCTCCAGACAAAGAAATCAATGCCGCGACCAGGCCAGCATTCCCTGCGAGGGTCGCCTCCGTGTAGTTGTAGTTACTTCGAACATCTCTGAACCCATCATGCCTGTCTGGGCCGGCCACCATGGCCCCAACAATTATGTTAGGGTTTGGCTTTCGGCTGTCTCTCCATTTCCATCCTCCCTTGCAGCCGTACTTGACCCCGTTCTTAGGAATTGATGCGCCACGGTGATGAACATGCTTCGGATAATGGTGCCCAAAACCCACAAGATAGCTCATTTTCTGGGGATTTTTGCCTAAAATATAGTCAATCTGAGAAGGAAATGAAAGAACATCATCAGGTGTCGGAAATGCTCGAGCCTCGGATTCCAGAACCATGAAACAGGGGCGGAAACTGTACCTGAGTCTTGGCGAAGTCACGCAGGACACTTGTGGAGTAGAAGTCAGGACCACAGTACCACCCTGGTGTGTCCGAAGCTTCAAGATAATCGCTATACACTGAAGCTAGAAAAGCAGCGTTGACCACATACTGAAGGGGCTGTGGGTTTCCATGGTTCAACTGTATCAGACCGCCTGTGACATCATTAAGCAAACCCATGAGGCTTCGGCATGGGAGAAAAGAAGTATGAGCAAGGAAGCAGATGAAGCCGACCTCTGGTTCTGTTGAAGGAGGTAAAGACAGGAAGATATGAACACATGATGATGCTGCTCTGGTTGTGGTAAGTCTTCAGCATCTCTTCGTATGGGTAGCCAGGGCTCAGGAACATTCTCAATCTGGTTAGAAGAACCTGAATGCAACAGAACGAAAGATGAGAGAACAGTTGTTGACCTTATATAATTCCATATCCGTCCTCAATGTAAATGAAGCTACTTTCATCTCTGGATGACAGATTATCTGTTCTTCTTCTTTTTTTTCACCACAGAAGATGGAAAAAAAGACATTTTTTATGAGGATGGGTTCTCATGGTCCGCATAAAACCACCAAAATAACCTCAAAACTAAAATCAAATATTCGCCAATGATGAATCCAAGAAAATGGACAGAAGATGGACAGAAGATGGGATGCTCAAGGCATGGAGATTGTTTGCTAATACTAAACATAGAAAAGAAATTTAAACAGGGCTGAAAAGAAAACGTTGAATTACAACAAAAAGGGATTAATCTAGGTTTTTTGTATAAAAAATATCAAAATCCAGCATCTTCTGCACTACATAGCAAGGAAATTAATTCCCAATTAAAAATGCATTTAGCAGCAATGGGTAAAGAATCTTGACAGAAGATAATGTATCTGGTGACGTGTGGCACTGATTGTACTGAGAGATGGAAATAATTAGTGGACAGCGCAACAATTATGTTTGATGATCTTAACCTGTGACACTGTAGCATGAGATCCCGTTGGTGGAATTCAATTCCAGTGATGATGGGCAGTGAGGGCCTCACGACAATGACAACTGGTGGTGGTTTGCAGTAGGTGACGATTTTAAATACAAAATATATATTAAATCCGAAAATAAATACCGCATTTAAAATGATATCACTAAACAATGAATTGCTTAGTGAGTCAATTAATAACCTACGAATTGTTCAATAAACTGAATGGGGATTTGTTCATCTACTTACTTGAGCCCCAGCAAGCTTGTTGTCCCAGCTCAAGACTCCATAGAATGGGCCACCCCAAAAGGCACCAGCGTGCTTGGCGAGCTTCGGGTGGGTAGCAAGGTAAAGGTAGGAGGAATTTCCAGTGGCGTAGTACATCCACGCTCCACCCCACATGTACTCATCCCAAAAGCTGGTAGAGTTGTAGAACATAGAAGCTTCGGTGCCCTGGGGGCTGTAGATGGCATGCTGCTTCCTGGCGAATTTCCAGAGTGTCTCGGCGCCATGGACAAGCTTCTTCGAGTATGTCTCGCTGTCCTTGAAGACGATGGAAGCGGAAGCTAAGGCTGCGGCCATTTCAGCGGCAAGGTCGGCGCAGCTGCTGCACTCGAACACAGGCCGTGGGTAATCAATGTCTTCGGGTCTCATCCAACAGTAGTGATCGTTGGGAGTCGTGCTTCCATCGGCAGTGTTCCCGGAACCAACCTGGAACATGCTCATCAGATTAAAGATGAAGCCAGAAGAGTAACAGGTGGGTATCTCGTCTTCCTTCTTTTGATTCCTTTACCTGACTAGCAACTTTGTCGATGTTGTCTGCAGATGAATTGAAAGTCTTCAGTATGTAGTCGGATCCCCATTTGATGATCTCCTTGACGTGGTTCAGCTCCCCAACTGCTTCGTACTTTGCACTGTACTCAATCACGCTCCAGCTGAGCATTGTCATGGCGAAGGACATGGGGAAGTGGAACTTGATCGCATCTCCGGCGTCATAGAAGCCGCCGACGAGATTCTTGTGGTACCCTTCATCCGACATCCCATCCTTCATACCAGAGTTGCCTCTCCAGGAGACGTTGTTGTGCTTTGGGAGTGGCCCAGCTGCAAACACCAGATCATATTTGCTCAGAAGATCACACGTATTACGCAGAGGAAGTATCAGAAAGTTTAGAGAATGCAGCTTTTCGCAGTCTCTAGCTCATACGATTATTGAAGGTGTTCTAAATATCTCCATGATCGTGAATGAGCCCGATGCTCGTGCCATGAGGGGTAGATAGGTCTTTAATGTTTTTAGAAACAACCCAAGTGACAAAGCTGATTTTTGGACCGGTAAAGAGAAAAATCAGTCGAATCCTCGGCGGTGCATGAAGATCGTTGGGAAGAATCAGCGGAAACATTGGAAGATGTCTATGAATCGATTTCAAGAGACATCAAAACGCCGGCAAAAGGGCATGAAACAGTAGGTGGGTCAACTGATCGGCCACAAACATTATGAGACATTGCTGCATGATGGTACCGAGGACGGTGCGAAATGTTTCACTAGAAATGGATACGAATACTGCCGGATATCCTCAGGATTTAGAGAATGCAGAGATGGAAAACCCCAAAACCTGCAGATCCTGGTACCGCAAAGGCTTCCATGGCTGCATGATATAGATCGCATTGTGATGAGTAGGAGGAAGTGAGGAGAAAAGAAGGGGTACGCACATCGCTGGGCATTGAAGAACATGAGGGCCTTGTGGAGGGCGAGCGTGTAGTTGTCGGGAGGAGGGCGGGGCGGGTGGTGGCGCGGCACCGTCTTGACGATGAGGGTGATGAAACCGGCGAGGAGGCCGCAAGCGACGATAGTGCCGACGGTCCAGAGGAAGAGCTTGCGGCTGACGATAATGCATCCGAGATCGACATACTTCTTCTTCTTCTTCCCCTGGTCCCCCGGCCCCGCCAGGAGCCAGCTCTGTTGCGTCTCGTTCAGCTGCCGCGAGGTGGTCGACAGCGCCGCCCGGTCCAGGTCCATGTTCCGACTCCGCTCGTCGTCCGTCGCCGAATCCGCATGGATCTCCAGAGGACCCCCCCACGGATCCCTCCCGTACATGCTCATCTTCCTTCACCTGATCCCGATTCCCCTCTCGCTCCTCCCCTTTTCTCCCCTCTTTCTCCTCCTCCAGTTCACGGCGGAAATGAGTGAGCGATTGGAGGGACCGGAAAGAAGAGAGATCCAGAAAAGCAGGCAATGGGTATTCTGAGTGGGGGAGGATGTTCTCTCAGCCGCCGCTGGTTACCCGATGGAGTGCCTTCCACTGCTGTACTTGCCCCAATACCCGCCTGCCCACAGCTAGCACAAAAGACGTCCCCTTCACAAGTGTTCTCACGTTGACAGAAAAAGAGAGATAGTGATAGAGAGAGAGAGAGAGAGAGAGAGAGATAGCGGCATTTCGCCTTTACGGCCTTCGATTTTCATTTGCAGAGGGAAATCCAGGGGGCAGAAGGAAAAGCCAGCCCGAAATTAGCTGGCCCTGACGCGTGGCCGGGGCTGCCGTGGCGTGACGACAAGTTTCAATGGGCTGGCCCCGACGACGGTCCGAGACAGAGCAAAATCTACGCCTTAGGCACACGCTGGCATCCACGTCGGACCCGTTACCGTTTGCCACCGAAAACCAACACCTCCCCAAGCGCTGCGACGGTGACGTAAAAATAATATATATTATAACTAAATAGCCCCTACTGAACGAACGAAGTAGAGAGGCAAATAAAATAAATAGGGGAGCAAATAATAATACGCGTCAGGTGCCTTTATGATCGCGGGGGGATAGTAATTAAAACAGGCCCTGAACAATGTCGGTGCTGCCGCCCCGCCGGCCATCGACGGCGAGTTTTATATGTCGGGAGGTGGCGCAGAGCGGCGCCGCGGACATCTCTTCGATCGAGCACCGCCAGTCTCGTTTCTGGGTCCATGGATTTACACGCGAAAGACGGTGGCGGAAGGATCTGAACAGCGATAGCCATGGTGGTTACGATCCTCGCGCGAGACTGAAGAATCGTGGATGCCCACCCATTTCGCAGGGGCTCCTTCTGCTCTGCTTTGACTGTGACAGACGAAAACTAGAGCACGTAACCCTCTATGGGATCTAACGCCGTGGGCTTGTCCGTCTGCAGGATCAGCGTAGCCGCGAGTAGTGGAGGAAGCCCTTCTTCCGCAAAGAGAACTCTGAGTTGTGCATTAAGAACGAAGCTGGGCAGTAGATTTTTGCAAACAGTGCTGCGAATCCACTGGATTAAAGCAAATGATAATTCTTGACGGCCAAGGTTGCATACAGTGTGAATCGAGAGTCGCCCAAATGCCAATAAATGTGAAGGAACCTGACATTCCACCGCATACTTGAATGGCAATATATGAGGAGATGGGATTCTTTTTTAATCAGAGATCAGAAGAATGAAAACCCATACAGGCTTAATAAACTATAATTCGATCACAATATTGAAGGGCTGTGGTTATGTTCTGTTCTGCTTTCACCTTCGCTGCAGCCGTTTGACAGCTCCTGATGCCTTTTTCTTACTTTATTTTAAGGGTTTTAAACAGGAATTGCATTTGATTTATTTTGCAGCTTAAGTCTTTTCCTTAGCCATCTAAATAAGGAAGCCTGGAGGCTTGCTCGTTTCTTTTCCCCGGGTGCATTAAGAAGACATTATTTCATTCGCCATTAAGCTCTCTTTGTCATATGAACTTGATAATATTTGCTTTTTTATGTGCTCATTTGCGTTCCTGGGCAGAATTAGAGCTCTTGGAGAATATTAAAGCAAGATTTATAGAATTCCAGACTTTTTTTGTCACTCAAATAACTTATCCAATGTGTATCATATAAATTATAATATTATGTTAATTTCTTCTTTTTTTTCAGCTCTGATTCATGTTTATGTCTCCTGCTTCAGATTCTTGGTACTCATGGGCAGTCTTTTTCACAGGTGTAGAATGCCACGTTATTTAATTTTATTCTTAATTTCATTCGAACCGCTGACTTTTTTTCTCTTCCCTTCTTCAGCCAGTTGAAAAACATCGATTTACCCTGCCAGAGAATAGAACACAGCGATACCTCATCTGATCGTCATTCTCCATCCGTGGCCCTTGATGAAAGGAAAACGATAAGGAAGAAGGAATGCGAGCTTCAGAAACTATTATGATCATTTATTAAAGTGATATTCAACATCATGAGCCTGTTTCATCGCGCTTCAATGCAAAGCATAAAGAAGAAAATGCAGAAGATTAAAGGCAGGCGTGTGCTCGAGGCCTCGGTTCATTCTTCACGGGCAGAGCAAAAAAAAGAAAAGAAAACAGGGAAGAAGCTCTTAGGATGGTGGCACTGAACTAATATATATTCACAGGCGAGAGGATGGTAATATGGGGCCCGCCTCAAGTCCAGAGTGCCCGTAACGAGGGCGGGTTTGTTTCCCCGTTCCTCCTGTTCTTGTCATCTCGACGTCTGAAAAACCAATAGTAACAGAGAATTGTATGGCATTTTCACGTAGAATTAAAAAACATAGTCATCTCTTTTTTTAACGGGGGCCTATATTTTATTTACATTTTCGTTATTTTTTTAATCGCATAGCACCATTAGAGCTATGTATGCCTTTCAGAGGCTCTCTCTCTCTCTCTCTCTCTCTCTCTCTCTCTCTCTCTCTCTCTCTCTCTCTCTGTGCAGACGTTTTGTGGAAGAAATCTGTCGAATTTTAAACGAAGAGCAGGAAAAACTTCCGCCAAGAATTTACGGGAAAAAAATTCACGGCATATGAGCAATCTAAGCATTTGACCCAACAAATTCACGGTGGGGGGGAGTGGTGGTGGGGATGGAACAATAGAGGGCGGTAAGCAAGTAGTACGACTCCGAAGCAGCTGCGAGGCACGGCGGCGGCGCCCGACTAGACAAACATGATGATCTCAGAAGAGCGAGGGCCAGCGAGAGAGAGAGAGAGAGAGATTGGGGGGGAGAAGTACCTCCTCTGGGTCGGTAAGGTTAGGCGACGGCGGGCATGTCCTTGAGCCAGGGGTCGAGGGCCTTGCCAATGGAGTAGACAATGAAGCCGATGCGGCGAAGGAGGTCTGCGTCGAGGACGTTGCGGCCGTCGAAGATGAAGGCGGGCTTCTGCATCTGGTTGTAGATGCGCTGGAAGTCGAGGGCCCTGAACTCGTCCCACTCGGTGAGGACGCAGACGGCGTGAGCTCCCCTGGTGGCCTCGTAGGCATCCCACACGACGGAGACCTGCTTCACGGCGGTGGGGCTCATCGGCTGCAGGTGGATGGGATGGTCCCAGTCGAACTTGTTCATGGTGAGGTCCCTCTGGATCTGGTCCTCGGTGACCTGCGGGTCGTAGATGCTGATGGCGGCCTTGTCCCCCAGCAGGCCCTTGCAGACGTCGATGGCGGGTGTCTCCCTCGTGTCGCCGGTGTCCTTCTTGAAGGCGAAGCCCAGTACGGCGACCTTCTTCCCGGAGACAGTGTTGAACATGGAGGAGACCACTCGGTTGACGAAGCGGCTCTTCTGGTAGTCGTTGATCTTGATGACCTGCTTCCAGTAGGTGGCCACCTCGGGGAGCCCGTTGCACTCACAGATGTAGACCAGGTTGAGGATGTCCTTCTGGAAGCAGGACCCGCCGAAGCCCACGCTGGCGTTGAGGAACTTGGGCCCGATCCTTGAATCTCTCCCGACGGCGTAGGCCACCTCCGTCACGTCGGCGCCGGTGGCCTCGCAGAGCGCGGAGATGGCGTTGACCGAGGAGATGCGCTGGGCCAGGAACGCGTTGGCGGCGAGCTTGGAGAGCTCCGCCGACCAGAGGTTCGTGGTGATGATGCGCTCCACGGGCACCCACTGCGCGTAAACGGCCTTCAGCGCCTCCACCGCCGCCCGCCCCTCCGGCGTCTCCCGGCCGCCGATGAGCACGCGGTCAGGCTTCAGGAGGTCCTGGATGGCTGTCCCCTCCGCCAAGAACTCCGGGTTGGAGAGGATCTGGAAGTTGATGCCTTTGCTGTTGTGGGTTAGGATCTTCTCAATGGCTTCCGCGGTCTTCACTGGCACCGTTGACTTCTCGACTACGATCTTGTCGGACTTGGCCACGTCGGCGATCATCCTGGCGGCGCTCTCCCAGTAGGTCAGGTCCGCCGCCTTGCCGGCGCCGAGCCCGCGGGTCTTCGTCGGCGTGTTCACAGAGACGAAGATGATGTCGGCCTCCGCCACGTGGCGCTCCACGTCGGTGCTGAAGAAGAGGTTCCTCCCCCGGCACTCCTTCACCACGTCGTCCAGCCCGGGTTCGTAGATGGGCAGCTGCTCGCTGTTCCACGCCGTGATCCGAGCCACCGAGATGTCCACCACCACCACCTCGACGGCGGGGCACTTGAGCGCGATGATGGCCATTGTGGGCCCGCCCACGTACCCGGCTCCGATGCAGCAGATCTTCACCATGTTAGTTCTTCTTCTGTTCGATCTGCTTCTTCCGGGCTGGCCTCCTTCCTGCCTGCAGCAACAAGGAGGAGGGGGAGGGGGAGGGGGAGGATGGAGAATGAATGAGATGACGGGCGGCTGAAATCCCTTAAAACATTAATTAACTAATGCCCCAGGAAAATTTAATATTTTACTGATCCGATCCGATCTGATATGAAATGATCTGATCTGTGAGATCTGACGGCGATGACCTACCTTTTTTTTGGGCATAGGAATTAAACTAGATGGTGTACCAAAAGCAGAGGGGAGACGAAATGATGATCCGTCAAAAGGATTTCAGCTGTATGGAACATAGGTAACGTCCCGAGTGGATTAAAATAGGGCAAGAAATTGCACTTTTGAGAGGAGGGGGAAAGGGGGGGTGCATGTAGGCAGCAGATCTTCACCATTCCGACTAAGTCAGCGTCAATTTCACCATGGGATCAGATCAGATCTACCCAGATCCACAGATCTTCAGAGCTCGAAACACGAAATAAGTCCACCCTTGATAACGCCTCGTGCGTTGGACAGAAACGAACAAGATTAAACAGATTTAATGCAAAAAACGACAACGAATCAAATCGACAAGCTCTCTCACCATCCAGATCTGCTGCTACAAACACGAACAATACCTGAAACCTGACCCCAAAAAGGAAAAGAACTCCAAAGCTAAAACGAAGCGGCACATACCAAAGAGGATGACTCCGGCACAGACCAAGGGCTCAAGATCGAACTCCCCTCGATCCTCGCCCCGGACCGGCCTCGCTCGCTCTCGACGGTACCAAGAAGCCTCTCCACGACGCTGAAGACTCTTTCTCACCAACGGAGAATTGGATTCAATCTCTCAGAATACACGAGGGAGGAGGCGGAGAAAGAAGAGGGGAACGCCCTGCTTCATCCCCGAGTTCGACCTCCCTCTCCATTTATAGGGGAGAGCCCTCCCCAAGACCTCCCCATTGATGTCTCCACGAGCCACGATCTGGGCCGCCCATAGAAGGAGGGGCATTCCGCGGCGAGGGTGGAAGAGAGTGGCCGGATGGGAAGAAGGATGGGTTTTTTTTTCCATTCCTTGTGTTCTTGTCCTCTTAACGTTTGAACCAATTGTAACAGGGACTTTTGTAAAATGTTTTCACGTATAACTAAAATCCTATTTATCTCTTTTCTAACCGGAGGCCCGTATTTTTAAAAGTATTTGCTATTATTTTTTATTCCCATAATACCAACATTTTACATTTTCATAGACCTTGCTCTCCGATCGTCACAGTGCGTGGTGCTATTCGACCCACCAGTACCTTTTATACTCACACACTCTCCCTCTCTCCAGCCGTTTGGGGAAGAATTTCAGCGAAACACGAAATGGCATCAGCTTGAACGCACAACACTCTCAGTTATCGTGGAACAAAAGAAGGAGAGAGAGAGAGAAAGAGAGATGAGTATCTAGGTTGGTTAGACAACGTGGGGCATGGCCTTGAGCCACGGGTAGAGGGGCTTGCCGATGTCCCTGAGCCTAGGAAGAGGAGGGAGAGGAAAGCTCCCCTTCACCTCTCAACGCTCTAATTCCTCTCCTCCATTTGTATGGAGAGTCTTCCGTTTATGCCCTAACGGGGGCCACGATATGGAAGAGGGACCGGATGGAAAGGAGGGTCGAACTAATAGTAACAGGGACTTTTATGACATTTTTCACTTATAAATAAAATCCCTTCTCTACTTGTTTTTAACAGGGGCCTGTATTTTTTTTACGTCTTGTTATTATTTTTTATCATATAATACCAACATTTTAAATTTTCATAGAGCTTGGTACTATTATTGCTATTATTACCTTTAATAGCCATTTTGTGGAATAAATTAATGATCATTAATTTATGCAAGTGAATCTAAAGGACTAATTTCATTCTTGCCAACGCCCTAGGGCAAGGCATAATGTATTCTTAGAACATAAGAGCCCTGTTTCAACTCTCCGTGCTCAACTCTAACCTCAAGACTTCTTTATTTATAGGGGAGAGCTCTCCCAAGACATCTTATTTATACCCTAATAGAAAACCACACTCTCATCATCTCACCTTCACACTAAAAATTGTGTGTTGAGCAGTTTTTCCACTCACACGTATCACCTAGTTTGTTGATATGCCAATTGATTGGTTGATCCTATGGTTCACCTTAATCTAACTCTTGATTTGTTGATCCTATCTGAATCAATTGATTTTTCATTGCAAATATAATTCATTATAAATATAACGGATTCGTGTGATCTACTCTTTATTATAAATATAGATTTTTCTAGCTAACTATTTGTTTATTTATTATCTTCATCAAAATCTATATACTATTGTTGTGTAGTATATTTTATGAGCCACCCTTTTGAAATAAAAGTTAATGTTAAAAAACTTTTTAAAATTTTGTTTTTGAATTTATTTTATACGAATAGGATAATAATATTACATTAATTAACGATTATATTAGAAAAAAAAACTCTTGGATTGACACTTTACCAAGATGTATTCAATGTTAAAGATAATTGTGTAATTTCACATTTTGGTAGATTACTTAAAAAGAGTTACAACAACTTTTATCTATTAAGACTTTGATTGGACACAAGATCAAATTGAATAAGTATTTAAAAAATGAAAAAAATGATATAACAAAAAAATAATGTGATTATATGACTTGTCGGTCAACAATTCATTTTGATAAATATTAAAAAAAGTAGGCAATTTGGTAAATTATTTTAAAAGCGTTGCAACGACATTAATTTGTCAAGACTCTAAATGGGCAGAATATCAAATTACAAAATAAAATATATATATATACAATAAAGAATTAATATGATTGTATGACTTGTGGCTCAACCAAGGAAATCATTTTAAGTACTAGGTAGTGGCAAATGAGCTGAGTCCAATCTACCATTGACAACGATACCAAGTGGGGCCAAGAATTAAGAAAAAATCAGACTCACCTTCATTTAATTATCGACTTGATAATAGCAATAAGAAGTCTTATTGATAACTTTTAATTGAGTTAATGATCGCATAATAAATTTTAACCTTGTTGAGAAAATGTACATTAAGGGGTTTTCAAATGATGATTTAAATTTTAAAAAATATTTTTTTTGTGAGAAAAGGTTAGAAAGTAAAAACTTGAGAACAAATGTTACCAAAATAAAGATAGTGGCATTTTAAAGATCACACAATCTGCTACATTACACTGAGGTGCAGTTAGCAAGTGAGTAAAAGAAGACACTATTTCTACAACAAACGTTTCAGTAGATTTAAGAAGACCTTAATTTGAAAAACTATGTTCCAACAAAACAACATATATCAATCATATAGATTTGCATCATATACTGCATAGAACAATCATTACTCTACTTCCATATATATCAATATCCGACCAACCTTGAGAAATGATCCTCCTTCCCTTGCCATTTTAAAAAAAGTGTAATTTAAAGCATTGAATATCAAAGTCTTTTGAAAAATTATCTCTCACACAAAGACCAATAACATTAACAAAAAGAGTAATGTATGATGGTTTGTCCTCATTCATTTAGGTGGATGAACATCCCATAAATAAATAAAAAGTTAAAAGAGCATATAGATATAGATCATGCTCATCACCTATCTAAGCTGTAAAATTGATGAGTTAAAGAAGGAATTTTTCATAAATATTAACAAAAAGTATTTTATAATGATATATTAATATTATAAATAAAATTTACCACATTTATTATTTTGTATTTTATCAAGCACTCGTCCTTTCAAAGCAATGTAGATGATGTCCAAATTCTTTCTTCAACCTCTTTTGGAAATGTGAATGGATAATAAGATGACTTGTGGAAACTAATCTAAACAAGATGATTGTAGTTAAGTAGAGAAAGAATTTAGATCTTTTGGTATAGAAATTTATTGATAGACAAGTAATGAGAAAAATAGTAATTCATTACCCATAGGGTATGAACCAAGAGACTGCCTAATATATCAAAGTATATAACATGTTATAATTAACATTATATGTATTGATGTCATTCATAATCATTCAACATATTTGAGAATAATATCTATTTATATAACTTTGAGTCATTGGCTATAAATCACTTATCAATAAATTTGGTAGTTTTAAATGTAAAATGTAAAATAATAATAATGTTCAAGGTTCAAAATGGCAGTCTTGTTGGTAGATTCCTCTTCTTTATGAGACACTTATACACTCTTATTTATAATGTAATTTTATTACAAGTAGTGCAAGTTTCAAATATTTAATATATTGAAAGGTAATAATTAATAAGTTGGGACTTAGATGAGGTCATATCTACTAACATACTATTATGTGAAGTTTAACCAAAAAGATAATATACATCTTGACCTTTTTCCAAAGCTAGAGTCAAATAGTTACTATTCCTGAAATTGATTTTAGTGGGTTTGAGAATTGATACCATTTGATATTAGAAAATAGATTTAGTATATTTTACAAGTACTAATACATATGTAATACAAAATTGACAAATGATTAATTTTCCTCAAAAGCAAGCATAATGAAAATAATTCAGCAAAACATTTACATGTCATCATTTGATTTAAGCTTGAAGTATTAATCATATTTTGTTTGTACCAACAAAATAATTTAATGTTGACCACACCGTGAGATCAAACTAGAACTACATAGATACTTAGATCTTCAAAACTCAAAACACTAAAAAAGTCTATTTTTCATCGTGGTTAAAGCATTGAAAATTAAAAAAAAGAGAAAATAAGATATGATGTAGAAAATAAAAGTAAATTAAATCAAACATTTCTTATTGCCTAGATTGACTTTCCAAACACAAAATAACACTGAAATTGGACCCAATAAATTTCTAAAACTAAATTGTTGTACATATACCAAGGGTGATGACCCAGCCACCCCAAAATAAACTAATTCTTTAACTGCTAATGATAATTTCAAATTAGATTAAATTAGTGTATTACCTTGCAAATCGCTGCATACTCATTCGCTTTGAATGGCCAAAGCTAACGCTGAAAAGAACCAATTGAGAAAAAATAACTTGTGGAGGGGAAAAGGTAAATGAAAATCTAAAGTGAGATTGTAAGTGTATTGGATCTCATTATGGGGGGATCAATTTCTTATATGTGTGCTCATGTCACTATCCACATGAACTCTTCCTTTAAGACAATAGAGCATGATTGAGACATGTCATTTGTCTATACATATGAGGCTCAACATCACCATGTATACACCTTTCTTAAAAACCTTTTTTATATCTTAATGTGAAGTTTTATCATTGTACTCTCTGTCTTTTGGTCAAATCAAAAAAATAGCCTTTGCTTTGGATCAAATATAAGAAAAGTTACTTTACAAATATACAATTTTCCAACTATTTTATATTTATTATCTTCATCAACATCTATATCATATATTATATTAGATTTTATGACCAACCTAATGTTTGAAATAAAAGTAATAGTAAAAAACTTATGTTTTTTTATATGAATATGATAGAAATATTTCATTAATTAATGATTATGTTATAAGAAAAACCCTTGATTGGAACTTTACGTTAATGCATTAAATGTGAAAGATAGTTATGTAATTTCACATTTTTGATAAATTACGTAAAAAGACTTATGTCAATAATTATTTGTTGGAACTCTGACCTAGCCCATGAACAAATTGAATAAATATTAACAAAATAAACAAATATATAACTAAAAATTAATGTGATTATATGACTTATGGGTCAACCAAGGAAATCATTTTAAACTTTAAGTGGCACAAAATTAACTAAGTCTGGCCTACCATCAACAATCATACCAAGTGGTGCCGAAAATTAAGAAAAATCTAGACTCCCAATAAGTTAATTGTCAACTTGATAACAATAATAATAATAAATCATAATGATAATTTTTAATTGAGTCAATGATAGCACAAATAAAGAAATTCTTCCCTCCTGACGACGTATTATCTATTTTACATTTTTTCCCACGAAATATGTAAAAAAAAAAACATTTTATTGGGATTGGTTCCCATGGTCCGCATAAAAGCTACCGAAATGCCTTCAAATCAATCAAATCCTCGCCAACGATGGATCCAAGAGAGAAGATATGCTTATGAGCATGGACAGACGATGAGATGCTAGAGATATGGAGGTGGAGTTGCCTTCTATTGTTGTATTTGCGCCAATATCTGCCAGTTCATAGCCTGCACGGAAGATGTCCTCTTCACGAGTGTTCTCATCGTGACAGCAAGAGAGAGAGAGAGAGAGAGAGAGAGAGAGGCATTCGCCTTTACGGGTCCCCTCGTGCCAACAATTTTCATTTGCCGAGGTGGTCCAGAGGGAAGAAACAAAAGCCAGCACGAAATTAGCTAACCACACGCGTGGCGAAGGTTTTGTTCGCCGGGCGTCAGAAGCGACCACATCGCACCAACATGGAAGAAAATGTACGCCGCAGGACACACGAGCTGGCATCCACGTCGGACCCGCTCCTGTTTGCCACGTCGCCTCGCCAACCATGCTTCGACGGTGACGTGAAAATTATATATAATAAATATCCCCCCCGCTGAACGAAGCGAAGTAGAGACGCAAATAAAATAAACACAGCGAGCAAATAATTGGACGTCAGGCTCCCTAAATGATGTCGGCGCCGGGATAATTAAAATAGGTCTTGATGGAAGCCGGTGCCGGCGTCCCGCCGGCCCTTTCTCCGGCGGCTATCCTAGGCGAGCTTTATTTCATGGTGGGCATTTCTGGGCAGGAACATTAGACGATCCTGAAACGACGGCTGAAGAAAAAAGTCTACGCTTTTTCTCAATGTCAACCATTTCGGTCAAACAACATCTATCGTGGAGGCGGCGCAGAGCGACGCTGCCATGGCCGTCTCGTTTCTGGGTTCATGGATTTACAGGCCAACGACGGCGGCGGAAGGATCTGAACACTGGTGGCCATGGTGGGTAGGATCCTCGCGGGAGACTGAAGAATCATGGATGCCCTATTACTCACGGGCTTCTTCTGATCTGCTTTGAATGCGATAGATGACTCCGCAGATCTCTCAGTCAACAAGAGTCGGCAATCGGTCGGCGCCGACGGCGATGGAGCACGTGACTCTTTTAGGATCTACCGTTCGGCTTGTCCGCCCCAATCGTCCCATCCTGCGGACGACAGCGTACCTGCAAGTTGTGGAGGGAGATAGAGAGGGTCAAAGGGGATTGAGGGACCCGTGTTCTATATCTTCCGCGTGGGGTTGGGTGGGACATTTCGTCCGAAGAGATACAGGCGCAGGACTCCTCCACCCACGATCACGATCTCTCCCGGCGATCGCTCACCTCCTCCAGGTACCGCAGTGTCCCCAGCACCCACCCGTCTTCCGTGTCCTTCGAATTAGGGTTTCGTTCGTCGCTTCTCCCATTCAACACGTCGTTCTTCCGCAAAGAGAGCTCTGAATTGTGGTGGAATTGTTCTTATAATCGTCTCTGTCATCAGATAAGATCGCGTCTCATCGCGAGGCCCGTTATCAGTCGGTCACCTTTGATTTCTCGGAGCTCGATCGCCAAGGCCGGCTGCTTTTCTGGTATGTGCAGGGGATTGCCGCGGCTACTTGGGAGGATGAACCAACGAAGTGGTCCGAACGCCGAACCTGGTAATGAAAGAGGTTCTTAGGTTTTTTTTTTCCCGCTGATTGCCGGGAGGCAATCTTCATTCTTCAACCTCAAAACCCAGGGCTGTGTTTGTCCTTTAGATAAAAAAGACCGCTCGCGGACTTGTGATTAAATTCGTAGAACTTCTTCTACGAGCGCAAAGCAAGTCACTTTCTTGGTCGGAGTTTTCTCATTCCATTGGAGAAATTCACAGAATATTGCGCTGCCCTTTGAATGGTATGTCCATCGAAAGTAGATTCACAACGTCTTAAGGGACTACAGGAACCATATCATATCACCCCAACACAAGACCTTCACCTCATGGCAATGTAGAACTATGCGTTGGATACCGAATGAATAATTTCTATAATGAAAGATTTCACCCAATAATCTCTAGCAGAAAGGTGGATCAATTGGAAGGGATATAGATTAGTCAATGATCCTGAGATGCTCTATCCTTTATTGAAACGTAGGAGTACTTGAAGATCTTGTTTCAGATTTGGGTTTTTTATTGCCTATCTATAACGGCAAGATTTTGTTTAAAGCATATGATAGCTCTTGACGTTTCTACACACGCACTCACAAAAAACAGGTTTATGTTTGAAATTTGGGCCAAAATGATTGGCAGTCGTAACAATTTAAAAAGAGGAACTCCAAAGCTCACTATTTTCCATTGCCCGGGTCGAAAGCTCGCCTTTTTCATCGCAGACAGCTTAAAAGAACAAAGCTGGACTGTAGTTTTTTGCAAACAGGGCTGCGAATCCACTGGATTAAAGCAAATGATAGCTCTTGACGGCCAAGGTTGCATTGCATACAATGTGAATTGAGAGTCGCCCAAATGCCAATAAATGTGAAGGAACCTGACATTTCAAATCATTTTCTTTTATGAATATGTGAGGAGATGGGGTTCTTTTGTAATCCGAGATCAGGAGAATGAAAACCAGATAGGAAAACATTCAAGGACTGTGGTTATGTTCTGTTCTGCTTTTACCTTTGCTGCAGCCTTTTTACGTTCTTCTGTCTCACAGCTCCTGATGACTGTTCCACCATGATAACTGCTGGATGCCTCTTTTATCTGCCTTGTCTTCTTCCATCGGAGATTCACAGTGATTCCCTTGTGTATCTTTCAGGCATGATGCCGGTACCTAGTGAGTGCTAATTTCAGTCTCGTGTAACTAAACTGTGAGCCGGACGAATTAACACACCTGAGAGATATTCAGAATGAAGTTTTTAGAATACACCCCTCTGGACAGGTACCTGCTTATATGCCCGCATATTCTTATGAGAAAGTATCGATTACTGCTCATTGCCAAAATAGTATTTTCTCACTTTATTTTAAGGGTTTCTCAGGAATTGCATTTAATTTATTTTGCAGCTTCAGTCTTTTTCTTAGCCATCTAAATCTTGGGGAAAGCACCATTAAAGGAAGCCTGGAGGCTTACTCATGTGAGCGCATGCCTTCGGTGACTTGGGCGCCTCTTCGTTTCGTCTGTTTTTCTCCAGTGCATTAATAAGTCATTATTTCGTTCACCATTAAGAATCATTTTCTTTCCTCTTTCAGGCAAACACACCGTCTGTGATAAGAAGCTATCTCTTAGCCTTGAGCACGAGGTAGTAATAGTTGGAGCTACATTCATATCAGCTTTCTTATTTACTTCTGTTTGTGAAACTTATTTGCCGTTGTTAAAAGGTTCATTAGTATAGGCCCAGGCGACGAGGGCCTCCTTTGCATGAAATTAATAATAACTGTGATTATCTATAGGGACAAACACCCACAATTTGGTTTTTTATGTGCTTATTTGCGTTCCTGGGCAGGATTAGAGCTCTTGGAGATCATTAAAGCAAGATTTATAGAAATCCTGGCCTTCTTCGTTACTTTTCCTGGGTGATTTCTATGCTCACATTCGTCTCCCACAGCTGTCCGCATCAGTTCCCCGTTGTGCGAAGTGCATTTTTTTGTTAATTCTGGGAGCCTTGAAGTTGTTAACTGACTGTTCTGTGGAGATTTTTTTTTTTCCTTTCATGCCTCTGCTACGGAAATATAATTTTAAATTAAAATGGGGGCTCATCGTTTTTTATTTGAGACCTGTACTGTTCTTTCAATATTCTTTAGGGGACAAGGATGATTGCTAGGAGAACCCACTGGTTCACAAAAAAATATTTTTAATTAATCATAAAAGAAAATCCTTCCTTCATACCAACGCACTTGCTTCGTCACGTTATATGGGCATTGTAATTTCTGAATAATCATGAGTCGGCTTCTTTCTTTGCAACTCAAGAAAGTGTATCCAAGTTGTGTATCCCATAATTTTTTTCCGGCTTTGATTCATGCTTACATCTCTTGCTTCAGATTCTTGGTTATCTTGGGCAGTCTTCAGATGGTGATTCGCCGTCACTGGGGGACTATATGTGTAGGTCAAGGTTGTAGAACTCCCTTCACAGGTGTACAATGTCAAGCTATTTTATTTAATTTTTAATTTCTTTCAAGCTCTAACTTTTCCCTTCCCTTCTTCTTCCAGCCGAAAAACATTGATTTACCTGGTTCTTACGCTCAGCCACATGTACCCGGATCATCATTTCAGGTACTTTAATTAGCCATGGCATTAATAAACCTGAGATTAAACCCAAGGAAGGATATTGGGTTAATGCCACTGTCAGCTTTATGGGCGTCGTGGCAACCCGCAATATATCCTTTCCTTACCAAGTTCGGGAGTGTTGTCGGATTGGATTGACAGACGGTCTGCAGCCGTCGCTCCGGAAGGAGCTGAGAGTTCGAGCCTCTCCATTTCCCCCGCACGTATTGGTGCAGTCGTGTGTCTATGCGTCGTTGGTGTCTCTCAGAATCCAAGTGGAATTCTTTCTTTAACGTCTGTTGGCTTAGCAGCGCTGTTCAGGCCCATCTTTTCTTCAACGAGGAAGTGTGGGACACTTTCCGGCACATCTTTGAGACCTACCTCTTCGAAGCCGCTAAGGTAATGCTTATCTTTAAAGCCCATGAAAAATATGCCCCCTTTAAATCTCTTCTCGCGGATTCTTCAACTTATCTCCGGGCAGAATTTGCTTCTGGTACATTTTGATGCCGCCTGGACCCAAGAAAGCATGTAGATTCCCTGTTCATGGGCTCGTTAGCATACGAGATCAGCGGATGCCCGTCTAACAATCGGACCAAGTTCGAGAGATCTCCTCAGTTTTATTGGTTTCCTTTCTCTGTGCATTGTCCTCGTATTGAACCAACCGAAGGAGAATGCTGGAGAATTTAGTTTAGTGAGATCTTTTGTCTAACGACTGCAAGAGATTACATCTTCATTCTCTATGGAGCATGATTTACACCAATGTCGCCATTTCTTAATGGGAGAATGCATCTCATTCTCTGTCACAGGAATGGGCCTTGGACAACAGCGGCGACTCTCTCTTTGACAGCATGTCTAAAGCCATTGACGAGGTGACCCATTCTCTCTCTCTCTCTCTCTCTCTCTCGATTCTCTGGAAGATGTCTGCAACCAGAGGTAATCAGCACGCTGTTGATAACGCAGGTTGTGAGGTTAGACGAATGCGAGATCTACAGTTACAGCCCAGGCTTCGATGGGGACCCGTTCTTGGAGAAAGGAGCCATGTAATGCCTGCCTCGACCGAGAGTAGTTTCAGCCAGGCCATTGAGCCGCCATGAGAAACTTCTTTAACCCGGTAGCTGGTCTCCTTGCAGATGGTCCTTCCATTTCTTCTTCTACAACAGAAAGCTGAAGCGGGTGATCAGCTTCCGATGCTGTTGCTTGAGGTGGGCTCCCTTCCTTGTCGAAGATTTTTGACCTGATGTGGAGTTCACCGAGATTAATTTACCCTGTTTGTTCGTTCACTCGACAGCAACTTGGCAGAGGAAGGTTTTCTTGCCGGCGGCGCGTCTGACGACGGTGATGAAGACGATGCGATTTTCAGCAACATGGACATGTGATTCGCCCGACTGTACATCCCCTGTAAGATGTTGACCGACCTGTCAACATGATGAAGAAGACACCGAGCCACGGTGCCCACCTTGCTAAGCTAACCCGTTTTAGCTCCTTGCTTAGATGCAGGATGAACTACATATAATCATACTACGGGATGCCCAGAGTGTTACTATTCTCTTATCAACTTTCCTACTGTGAGCCGAAAGAATGGTAAAATATTTTGTCTAAAATCTAGCACATTAATTGCAAAGATTATACCTTCACCACTACCCTTCTTTTTTTTATGCATAGATTGTTATTCAGTAACCAACCCACAAGCTGGCGTAAGTTACTTACCAAACTATGACAGAGAAGGAGGCCCTCGATTGCTGTTCAGCGAAATCTACGATTGTAAACTTGGGTCTTAACCTCAGAAATTAGCTGTGGCAAAAATCTCTTAAGATATTCTGATCAAGATTAACGAATGATACAATAACGATCTTCTAACAGCTGTAGAAACTCTAATACTATTACGTCGGGTGTCATGAGCAGGGGTAGGTTTGTTACTGACCCTTCGTACGCTCTCACTCGAGTCGGGTCAAAACGGATAAAAACCGAGTCTTGACATCGCACCTCAGCAGCGGAAAGAGGGGATAGCGAATCTCTCTCTTGCAGGCGCGGAGGCGGGAAAATATGGAGGCGCGAAAGATATCGTCCACCCCCCCCCGGGAATCCATTCCGTTTCATTCCATGGCCAGATGGTGAGGAGATGCAGAAGTGGAGAAGATGAGCCGCCTACTTCCCCGCCTTTCATGGATCTCTCTCTCGAGAATCCCTTGGACTCTCAGGTGAAATATCTCACGTTTTTGACGAATGGCAACGGCCTTATGACGCGCTAGTCACCATCCCCCCTTCTCTCTTTCTCCTCCGCGTTGCAGGTTCTTGGGCTGTCCTCTCTTCCGCCGTCCCCTCCTTCCGGTCCGTATTCTGGAAGTCTCACCTTGAACGCTTCGACTAGCTTCGTCCGCGGACGATATGGATATGCTGAGTTCTTCTTTATCATTTTCTTGTTTTGGGCAGAGCCTGCTGACATCAGGAACTGGTTCCCAAGCTACGAGTACGACTCGCCCGAGCCTTCTGGTCTGTCCTTTGGGATTGACAGCCATGTGGGCGATACCGAACGGACGGGACAATGGGGAGAGATTCGAGTCCTACCGCCGACCGATCATGATTTATATACCGCGGACGGGTCAAATCTCCAGTCACGGAGAGCTCTGGAGAGGAACCGGATGCCAGATCTCGAACGCATTCCTATCCGCGAGGTAATGGTTTTTATCATTTCCTGAATAATGATAAAATCCTCATATACAATCGTCATCTAGAGCCTGTACGATCTGCTTGTACAATCTAACTTCTGGAGCTTATATTTATCTAATCTTTACAAAATTTCTTCCGAACCCTAGTGGGTTGGAATTAAACTTACCTTATTACACTCTTCCTGCGGAAGTGTGTTCATTCTGATCGATTCAGATTCGAGCTTAAACTTTGCATCTAATTAATTTCATTTCGCTGATGAACTGCGAGGATCATTTCTAATTTCTTGTTCCTTCCTCTCCTGCAACAATTTCTCTCCCTACGTTGTGCATTCCAATGTACTTGTTCTCTGTGTTTGGAGCTTAGGCCGAGGATGAGAGACTCGTTCGAGGAAGGAGTGACTTCGACCATATCCAGGATGATGCACCTTCACTTGATTGTGGTCTCATGGATGGAGATCAAAGATCACCGGACGGGCTAGGATGGATGCCCAAATCTGGGATTGGTGATGACGATCGAGAACCCACCCTGTCACAAATGATTGGAATTCCAACCAGACATCATGAAGAATCGAGGAAGATGTTGCTTTCAGATAGCATCTGTTCTCATGAACATTTGATCAGGAGTTCACCAGGAGGAGCCGACTATTTGTTGAATGGAACTGCTGACTCGGGATCAATCTGTGGGATTTTTACTAGGAAGGAGTTGTTGCTGGGAAATACAGTCAGTGAAGAAGGAAAGTGCAGCACAGTGGGCTGTCTCGTTCCATCAAAGGGGGAGAGTTTTTCAGAGAAGGCTGGAGGAATACCTAATTGCTGGATTTCGACAAGAGCCCACAAGCGGTCACTTGCAGAAGATGAAAGGCTCCTGACAAAAGATTTGGTTCTGAGAGACAGAACTAACGAGCAGGGAAACAGACATCTACAAAGCACATCGAGAGCACCTTTGACTGAAAAAACAAGCCTTCCGAATGAACCCTCAGAGGAACTGAGAGAAGCTGAGATTCCTGGAAAATGGCGATGTCCTCGCAGGAACAAGGCTAACAGAGGTCCACCGATGAAGCAACTTAGACTTGAATGCTGGGTCCGTAGAGTGATTTAGCCACTGGATACTGAAAGCTGTTGGGATATCTTATCACTGCGGAGCGAACTGTAACTTCAAATCCCCATTGTGTATTCCTTGTTGGCGCTGATCATGCAATGACATCCCTCTCTTCAATTATGCCATCTAAAACCGGTGACGGTTGGGAAGAGTAGTATGGTCACTGTCCAGAGGTAATCAGGTTAGCATCCTTTGATTCAGGAGATTAACCAATCACAGTTGGATAATTCTTGGAGACTTAGTCAAGCGACTGCTAATGATGGATTGATCTGGTAATGTTTCCGTTGCCTTCTTGACACCCAACTGGATGCTTCCCCTTGCATTTATAAGGTGGGTGGTAGAAAAACATCATAATCAAGACATTTCAGCATCTGCTTACTTTGTCTCCGGGATTTCCTCCAGCTAATCCTGTGGGCCCCTGGGTTTTATAAATTGACGATTTTTTTCATACCTTTGCATTGTTCATGTCATACAAACATCATTGATACTAATTATAGTCTATGATGATGCCTTATAAATACTAAAAAAGGTTTTGAGGTCAAAGAAGAAGTGTATAATCACCGAATAGTGTCTTAGCTGGAAATCTATAACAACTCACTGTAAAAACCCTTATAATATAAAATCCAATCAACAAAATGGCTTTTGAATTGGATATTCTTAGATGGAAACATGAACATTTGTTTGAACTCTCTCAGGGCGAGTTTCTGCATGGTTGAAGGTACATGAGAAGCCCTTGATGCATTAAACATATCGGAAAATATTACAATGTAGTGATGTTAATGGGTTGTGGCTCAATTGGTCGGAACTTCTTCTTAGTCTCAACTATACATCACATGTGCTGTCTAGAAGACATGAGCATGGTCCACTCTATTCCAAAAAAATCATTGTACTTAAAAATAAAGTTTTCGATAATCATGGATTGCTCTTAAAAATATCGTGACGGGTCAACCACGATCCTCTTCTAATCCTTTAGAGGCTAATAATAAGATGACAATGTACATGTTAGAAATTGTAGAAAATTGAAAAGCATAAACCAATGACTTATTTAGAGGACAAATTTCTTAAATTCAAAGATAACTCGGATGTTAATTTGGATGAGATTGTAACACATGCTGATCTTCTCCTCACCATTTGGGAAGTATAACTAAAAAGTTTTAAAAAATGAAGCACGCATAAAAAATAAAGAATGTAAAAAAATTGATTGAAAACCTTTGACTTTTCTGTGGCAATTCCTATGTGATGTAAAAGATTTGGTCCTCTAAAATTTTTCTTATGTATCATGATACATTTCTGCAAGATAGTGGATGCAAAACTACAATTGTACCTATTTTAATGGAAAATAAGTGTTCTAAGCGGCCCTCTATACCATGTGATACAATACAATATAACTTATGATTTAGACTCTCCAATGGATCAAAATTGTAAGTTAATGCCTTTTTTTTAACCAATTTTGAATTCTTAGTGCGCATGTTGTAAGTCTTGCCTCATTGCAGGGTGAATAGTTAGTAGCTTTTAGAGCCATATATGTTTAGATATGAGAGAAGGTGTGTAAAGGGTAAATAGGCAATTTAATACAATTATCAAAGTTTCAGTATGACACACAAATATTGTGAATATTTTTGATACCTTATATAAAAAATCAATGAAATACTAAGGTCGAATGACCATGTTATGATTAGTTTTTACATTTAAAGAAAATGAGTTTGACTCACTTGAGAGTGAGGAAGTGAAAAGAAAAATGAAAAGTTTTAAAAGAGTTATAATGCTTGTGGCCCTCACTTATCTTTAATTATGCTTGAGTTCTAGTGCTAGTGACTATGGAATAATGATATTGTAGCATGAATTAATCATAATGTGTTTGCATGTAGTCATTTAAAAAATTGTGTATGCCTTGTTTTTTACTTATTGGAGAGCAAAAGCATCAATAAAAATAATTTCGAAAAAAGAAGAAAAATGTCACCTATTCGTTAACACTTTACAACTTTATATACTCTTAAGACCCCAAAAAATTACTTTGCTATCATATTAATAAATGTTTCAACTGAAAAGGTATTTCCGTAAATTCATGGCCATGCTCTATTATTCATTCAAGTGTTGGCTAAAAAGTTGCATAATTTGATTTATATTTTCTTTGTATGCAAATGATTTTAGCAGTAGATGTTGGGGGCTAAGCGTCCCCTTCTGCAGAATGGTAGAAAGAAGACACATTAGGATTTTGATTTGGAGAATACTTCAACGATCTAGGCTGAAAACCAAGTCATCATAGATCAAAATGTTCATTTCTCTTTCTTATTCAATATTTTGACTCAATCCAATCAACCCAAAATAGTTTACGTAGAGCACTTAATACGGAATAAAGACAAATATTTACAACTGGGAAAAGGATGTAAAGAGTCAATTCAACCCCTCTTGACATTCTACCAGGTCCACCTTAGGACAAACAATCTAGAGAGGTCTTAACAAAATGAGTTATGCACTAAGTGCCAAACGAATGTAAATCGTAAGGGTTGACTTTGTTTGATAAAAGTCATAAACATTTGATGTCCATTTCATGTCCACATTACAATTCACTCCTCGTCAAGGGGATTGAAATTCAAATGCACCATTCTCTAGGGGAATAAAAAAGCAGAAAACATTTTAAATTTCTTAGAATGTATACTACACTTTAAAGATTTTTATATTTTAACCACATTTTTGTAAGATATTGTTGAGAGTTAGAAAAATGTGGTCTACCTCTGTCGTTATGACGTGCCTTTTAGTACCTTTTATTCTGATTTTTTTTTTATGTGTTGCAATAAACAGATCTTTAGAACAGAAAAATAAAAAATGTCCAAAATTTTAGTACCTTTTTATTCTGATATTTTTTTTTCTATTTTTCATTGAAAAGTAGAAATTATCTTGCGATGGTTCTTGGCTTTGAGCGTGCTTCCTTTGACTTGATCTCGGAAAAAAAAAAAAAAACTTAAATTCAATTACTCGAATACTACGATCACCTTGATGTGTAGTAAAAGCCGCATTTTAAATGTCACTTATTATACAGCTACAATGATAAAGTGGCGGTGCCAGTTCCGCGGTAAGTGAGGGAAACGATAACACGACCGTTTCATTGACCTCTCGGGTCTCAAGCTAGGGACGGCGAAGAGGTCGCAGACGAAGGCGGCGGCGGCCGCACGCGACCGAGTCCATGTGAAGCCACGTGATCTATCTCACCCTCTCAAAGGTATCTCTCTCTTGGCCGCCAGCTGGGCGTGTGAGACGCAAGCCGAGAGGGTCAAAGTCAAAGAGACATTCCGTACCTTATTTTTCAGTTTCCATAAAAAAAATGTTATGGCTGGATAAAATTCCAAAGAACGGTTCCTGCCTGCCCCTCGAGCCGAGACGATAAGCAGGTCATTAAGACCAAACTTTTCCCCCCACAAGCTTCGTCGCGTGTGATTGACTCTGTCCTCTGCACGCCTCTGGAGTTATTACGTTTGACGCCGTCTTTTCGACTCACTTCATCCTCTGGAGCTGGGGGCGAGCGAGGAGATATTGGGTGGACAAAACTGGAAAAAGTCAACTCACATGGACGAGTGATCTTCACAATTCCCATGGCATCGAAGGAATGAAATAAAGTCTCGTGCAAATACATCCTGATCGTGAGGAGGAAAACTCGATCGATCCCGATTCGAATCGACTGACCTACGTTGTTGATGCCGATTATCCTACGCATGTCGGGCGCCTACTATGAAGGGGACTTTGTACACGATATCCATTAAACTACTACTTTCGTCTCTTCCATTATCTGCAAATTCTTTATTCCGGATTTTTATTTTATTAATCCCACCATCTAATCCCACCTTATTTCGATTTTCGGCGTCCACTCTCGCGAGCCTATTCATTGCACCGGATGTGATAACAATATGCGTGAAAGCTACCGTTCAGGTGAAAAAAATTGCCCGAGATTATCCGAAGTTGGAGCAGGAACAAAAGAAATGTGCCGAATTTTCCCCGGAGGGGCTCGCTGATGTGACCGCCGACGATAATGTCTTTGTCCGCAAGTTTGACCTAGCGCCTCCCAGATGCCTGGGCTGCCAGAAGGTCCAACCTCTTTTTGGAAATTCTTCTAATGGAAGCGCATTTCGTTCCCACTTTCCGGAAATCGAGGAGGGCACTCTGATTACTATGTGGGCTAAGAACGAGAGGATTCAGAGAAATTTTGCCTAGAATCATAACATGATCCAAAACATGAAGAATTTGCGTGGATTATTGTAATCCCCTGGAAAACTATCGCTCGTCGGTCGTTGAATGGGTTTCGGTGGGAGAAACGCAGTAGAGATATTCGGTTGAATAGGCCTAGTTTTTAAATAAAATAATGTCGGCATGACCGTGTTCCCGGGAGCCAGGCGACGACTTAATGGTCATCAGGCGAAGTCAAACCTGACAACCAGGCTTTATGACCAGTTATGAAGGCGCCCAGAAGTTCCATGCAACAGGAAGAGGAAGAGAAGAGAGCTTTGGAAAGGCGAGGAGAGGCGTCGGAGCTCCAAGAACGCAGGTCTTCGGTGGCGGAGGAAGCTCTCTCGTTCTCTCTTTCTTCTCTCGCCTACCCGACAAGATAAAGATGAAGGGCTGAGGTCACCTTCCTCATACATTCCAGATCGTCGAGCAGCCCCCAATTTCACTGGGAGTTGCTGGATTTCAGAGGAGAGAAGGATCGAGGGAAGAACCTGCGGGGATCTGCGGCCTGTCTTGGAGTCAACAGCGAATTCCGGCCTTCGATGGCCTCCGCCATGGCGCCGGCGATGCTTTTGCTAATGTTCTGCGTCGTCGGCTTCGGAATAGTTTCCGCCACAACAGATCCTGGAGATGGTAAGGATCCCCTTCCTTCAAGCATACCCGTTTCCTTGCTGTAGGACAGTGCCTGATGGATCTCATGCCCAGGTTCTGATGGGTTCTTTTCTCATCTCTCTCTCTCTCTCTGTTTTAGACATGTGGTCTTCCGGAATTAATCGAGATTCGATTGCTTGTTCATCGACCATGATAACTGGATCAAAGTATCCAGGATTTGATTTTTGGTCGGAAGGCGTTCTTTCTGAGCCAAACCGGCGCCCTCCCCCATCCCGTCGTCTAGAACAGGGCCCATTTCCTCGTTAAAGAGCTTTCTCCCGGTAACCAGTATTTCGATTACTGACAGCCAAATGATTGCAGCTGCCGTGCTCAGAAATCTGAGGCAGATTTGGAAGAACACGCCGCCGAACTGGGGAGAATCGGACGACCCTTGCGGCGCGCCGTGGGACGGGATCGCCTGCAATAATTCGAGGGTCGTCAAATTGTGAGGCTCCGCTTTTGATCCGCCGATTCGAGGTCCCCCTCCGTAATCCAACTTGTCTTATGAACGTTCGCCTCTCTTTCAGGACGATGGTGTCCGTGGGCCTCGAAGGAACGCTCAGCGACGACATCGGCCAGCTCGCAGATCTCCAGCTCTTGTAAGTTCGCGCTATCCATCGCACGCCGCCGTCGCCTCGCGGCGGGGATCGCATGATTTTCTTCGATCCAAAGCTAATTTGAAGAAAACCGCAGGGATCTCTCTTACAACATCAATCTAACCGGCCGAATTCCTTCATCCATCGGGAACTTGCAGAAGCTTGAGACGCTGTAAGAACTCTTGTTGGACTTGCTTACTGGACCACCCTCCCGCGTCCCTGTCGACCCTTCTTCCTAAAACTTTCCCGTGGTGTATGCCAGGAGCTTACCCGGATGCAACTTCGGCGGGAGCATTCCGACAGAAATCGGCAACATCCAAAAGCTCAAATTCTTGTAAGAATCGTTGTAGAGCATCTGAGGTTTCACTACGAAATCGGAATACTATTCTGCCATGATTGGAGACGATCGCCTAATCTCTCTCTCTCTCTCTCTCGCTCTGTTTGTCGTTCTTAGAGCTCTGAACTCCAACAACCTCACCGGAGGCATACCCCCTAGCCTCGGGAGTCTTCCCCATCTCGACTGGTTGGATTTGGGGGACAACCACCTCACTGGACCAATTCCCGTCTCCTCAGGCAGCACCCCCGGCTTGGATCAGCTCCACCAGACGAGGCACTTGTGAGTCTCTCTGTCACAGAGGAAACAATCAGTGGAAATCTTATTTCTTCATGAATGGATATTTTGGGGGCGTTGGGCTAACCAGAGTCCATATGCTCGCCAGCCATTTCAACAAGAACCAGCTATCGGGAAACATCCCAGAGAGTCTCTTCAACTCAAACATGACCTTGATCCACATGTAAGAAGCCGCCGCCGATATGCCCACCAGTGATTTCCGACCATGGAGGCTCCGCATCTGATGACGGCTAGTTTCCGGCTTTCTTGCAGACTCTTCGATGGGAATAACTTCACGGGGGGCATCCCAGCATCAATAGGGCTGCTGCCAAGCCTCACGGTTCTGTAAGTTTCCCCTGTCAGAGCTCAGATTCTCCATGTCTTCGAAAATTTCCATCTCTACCGTATATTGTTGGATTCGGGGGGCCGCAAATTCTCATCTGTTCTTTTTGCAACAGCCGTCTTGATCGCAATGCGCTGAGTGGAGCAGTCCCTTCCAACATCCGAAATCTGACGTTAGTCAGAGAGCTGTGAGTTCATCCCTTCTTCGTTCTGTGACCTCCCCCCGGTGTGTTCTTCCCCTCTCTCCGCCCTTCAACTCGGTGTTTCCTTTGCATCTGGTTCAGGAACTTGGCGAACAACGCGCTGACAGGGGATATTCCAGATCTTACCGGAATGACAACCCTGAACTATGTGTAAGCGACCTTCCCGATGATCCGGCTAGTAAGCAGCGGCTCCGTATTCCTCGCCGTTGACTGATAGCTCTTTGATGGATTCCCCGCAGAGATTTAAGCAACAACTTGTTCACCGCATCCGTGGCTCCGTCTTGGTTCTCAAATCTCCGGTCGCTCACCGTCTTGTAAGTTCTCAAATCTCCGTCTGATGCTCATGCCGACGACGGTTTGGCCCATTGGCATTATCTCTGACATTGGCCTCGCCGCCGGGTGCGCAGGGTGATGCAGTACGGGGGTCTCGTCGGCGGGGTGCCGACCGAGCTTTTCAGATTCCCACGATTACAGGAGCTGTAAGTGCTGCCAGCTACAGTCACAACGAGACCAGGGGATACGGAGGGACACCCTCATACGAATCATGATTTATTTGCAGAATCCTGAGGAACAACAAATTCAATGGAACCGTCGACATGGGCACCAGCGTCGGTTCGGAGCTCCAGCTTGTGGATCTGCGGGGCAACGTCATCACCGGCGTCCAAAACGAGCTGCAGCTTGCTGGTGGGGCCCTCAGGTGGGTGAACGTGGACTTGCCGGCCTTCTCTGGTCATTTACTTTGATCTCCATCTTTATGACGTCCTCTGAAACTTGCTTGAGTGCAGGTTAACCGGAAACCCAGTCTGCAACGCCCAGATCGAGGACAAGGACTTCTGCAAATCGGAGGTGGAGACGGCGAAATACTCCACGGTTAGCAACTGCAACAACAACGCCTGCACCGAGGGGCAGGGGGTCAGACCCCGGACCTGCGACTGCGGCCACCCATACGCCGGGACGCTGATCTTCAGAGGTCCCTTGTTCCGAGATTTGAGGAACAGCACGAGGTTCCAGTCACTTGAGAGGGAGCTACGGGACAAACTGAATCTCGGAGAGGATTCGGTCTCCCTCCAGGACCCCTTCTTCGACGTCGACGAGTATCTGCAGGTCCATCTAGAACTCTTCCCTTCGGATGGAAAGTTCTTCAATCGAACGGAGGTGCAGAGGCTTGGATCCGCGCTGAGCACCCAAGAGTTCAAGCCCCACGAGGACGACTGGGGCCCCTACGTGTTCAAGGGTGAAGTCTACAGGTTCGACGGTGCGTATTCTTCATCTTTTCTCATTCTTAGACCGATGATCTCATCCTCTTCCGGGCAATCAACTGAGGGAAGCAAACTGTTTCAGATGGCAACCGCAAGAAATTCTCCGGCGCAGTGGTTGCGGGCATCGCCGCCGGCTGCGGCGCCCTCCTCATTGGACTGATAGCAGTTGGTATCTACGCCGTGCGAGAGAGGAGAGTTGCCGAAAGAGCCAGGAGGATAACGAATCCCTTCGGTGCGCTTCGTAACGATCACTGATCTGGAGATTTGCGCCAATATTCTAGGCCAAATATTTATCTCCTAACTCCGTCTACTTCTGTTTCACATTTCAGCACACTGGGCGACAGACGACGCAGAAGCCGGTAGCGCACCGCAGTTGAATGGAGTGACCTTCTTCTCCTTCAACGAGGTGAAGAATTGCACCGACAATTTCTCAGAAGATAATGAGATCGGCGCCGGAGGCTATGGCCAGGTAACCCATCGTCCGGCCCTTGGTGAGAGCTTTCATTATTATCGAGTCCCTCCCCTTGACGGATCGTCCCGCTCCGCTTAGGTTTACAAGGGGAAGCTCCCGAACGGGCAACTGGTTGCGATCAAGAGAGCGAAGCAGGGATCCATGCAAGGGGCGCTCGAGTTCAAGACAGAGATCGAGTTGCTCTCGAGGGTCCATCACATGAACCTGGTGCGGCTCGTCGGCTTCTGCTTCGAGAAAGGGGAGCAGATGCTGATCTACGAGTACATCCCCTATGGGACTCTCGCCGAGAGCTTGTCTGGTTTGTTCCTCTACCCATCGGTGGCCACAAGGGTTCGCCGGAAGCAATCGCCCTATTCGTCTCTAATTCTGGCGTGCTGGTCGTCTTCTCCGCACAGGGAAAGTTGGTATCCAGCTTAGCTGGTTGCACCGGCTGAGGATCGCTCTAGGGTCAGCCAGAGGACTGGCCTACCTTCACGAGCTCGCCGACCCACCGATCATCCACAGAGACGTCAAGACTGCCAACATTCTCCTTGATGAACGCCTGACGGCGAAGGTTGCCGACTTTGGACTGTCAAAACTAGTATCGGACGCTGAACATGATAATGTTTCCACCGCCGTCAAGGGAACTCTGGTAAGATCTCCCCCTATCGGTTGTTTCTTCGCCCATGATTCGAGAGGTTTCTAGTTTCTGGTGAATCTCTCAATCTCGGGACCATCCTTACTGAAAGCTCCTCCTTGTGCAGGGCTACCTCGATCCGGAGTACTTCGCGACCCATCAGCTGACGGACAAGAGCGACGTTTACAGCTTTGGGGTAGTCATGCTCGAGCTGATCACCGGCAAGAAGCCGATAGAGAAGAACAGATACATTGTCCGCGAGGTGAGGGTGGCGTTGGAGTCGCGTGACGGCCTGAAGGGGGTGATCGATCCGGTCATCCGAGACACGCCGAATCTCGTGGGCTTGGCGAAGTTCGTGGACCTAGCCATGCAGTGCGTCGAGCACTTCTCTGCCGATCGTCCGACGATGAGGGAGGTCGTGAAGGAGATCGAATCCATTTTGGACAACGACGGCATCGACTCCCGCTCGACTTCCATGGTTTCGTCCTTCGCAGACTTCGGCGCTGCAGCGGACGCCGCCCGGCGCCGTCACAGCGAGTCGCTGTCCAGCCTGGAGCTCAGCAGCAACGCCTTCGACAGCAGCGCCGCCGTGTACATCTTACCGCCCATCGTTGAGCCCAAGTAGTGGAACTTGGTTTTTCTTTCTTCCAGCTGTCTCTGATCCACTCCTGGTCTGTGTGATACCCCAGCATTCATACTTTCAAATAGCAAATAAAAGCCCGTCTTCGATTGGAGGTCGGGGTCAACGTTTTGAAAACTTGGAGAAGCTGTAATCCCGCGATATGCGAGACGTGTCTCCGCCTCGGCGCTAGCCGGCGACAGGCCGCCGTTGCCGACACGGTATGAATACAGCCATCAGGCGTGCGCCCCGCAGATATCACTGCTTGTCCTTGTCACTGTTCTTCTTTCCACCCCGATTCCTCAATCTTCCAGTCTATAATTTCTCTAGAGAGAGGAGTCCGATTCTTCCCATTCTTGTTCACTTCCCCGTTGAACGGCCAGCATGATCTATCAGCTAACGTACGGAGGAGAGATTAAGCTGTCTTACGATAACCTCGCTCATGAGGTCTCGCTGTTGAGAGGTTTTTGTCCCATTTATAGCGTCCCCATCGTCATTTCTCCCCAAGAATTGGAGGTGTACCCGGTCACCCTCTCCTATCCCTCGCTGTGGAAGGGAGGGTGTACGTCACATCCGTCTCCAGTCCCTCGACATAGAAAGTTGACTAAAACTATTGATGAATCTGAAGGATGACCCGCTCCTGAGAGACTGCTGGGGTGGGTGGCGGGTTGAATGTGCGAGGGAAAGGGAAAGCGAATGATTATCCGCGAGGTCCACAACGTCCATTCTTATCCAGCGAGAGAGAGAGAGAGAGAGAGAGATAAATATGTTTGCCTGGCTGTTAAAGCAAAAAGCCTTCGTCCCCCTACTGTCGGTGAGAATCGTCGCTGGAGGTTTCTCCATCTCACGGATGACGCCTCTTCTCCCTCCTGCATTAGCGGGTCGTCTGAAAAGACCAGCCACCTTAAATAACACCTCTCATAAATTCCATCATCAACTCGAATTGACCGAAATTATGGAGTTTCGAAGGACAGCTATCATAAGTCGCCGACAACGGGGTCGTCTACCGACCTCGTGGGCATTATTCGACGAAAAAAATATCAGCTCGTCGACGGCGCACTCGGTAGACAGGCGACCCGTGCCCGGCAGGTCTACTGTTTTCTCTTCGGTCAACGATGACTTCTGAGGTCAATCATATGGACTTCAACAGGTGCAAAGGAGTACTGGTTTGGAGGGGAAGATTAAGACAATTGCCGCTCGCTTGATCCAAGGTTAGCGAGGAATCGACCGCCTCCGAGGATCGTCGGGAGGGTGAGAAGAGGGGGCCGCCCCACGAAACCTTATCTGGAAGGAGAAGCCCCAGTGGCTTCGGTTCGATGCCGACGTGAGCCAGTGATCCCTGGTTTAGAGTAGGCGATACTCGAGATTCTCTGTAGAAGCTGCTTCCGGGCCGGCAAATCAGAGGGGCCTCTTCTCTCAGTCTACGAGATCGCTCAGGGCAACGGCGGGGTGCCGGAGCTGATAGCTGTGAAGGGTTCGGCTTGGAAGGCTGGGAGGTTCCCTCTTTCGAGACGGCAAGCGCTGTTTCAGGCCCGGCATGGCCGCCTCCTTCCGTCTGAGAGCCGCCATGCTTCCGGTGGCGCCGCCGCTTCTGCTCTTGCTTCTGATATATGTCGGGAGAATTCGATCAGTTTCTTCCTCCAGACCCCTTAGATAGTAAGCATTCCCTATTTTCTGCACACCTCTCTCAATTCTATGACACACAAAGCACTCGAATTTCCATAATATATGCGGCGATTATCGGTCGAACCGATCATCATCCATGTTAAAACTAGATTGCGAAACGCGCATGCTTAATTACATACGCCTGCAATTAATCGGTCGGCCATCTTCGATGACTTCTGGGAAAATCGTTGCAGCTGCTGCACTGAGATCTCTGATGGAGGACTGGGAGAACACGCCGCCGAGCTGGGGAAGGTCGGACGATCCCTGCGGCACCCCCTGGGAAGGAGTTGCCTGCAACAATTCAAGGGTCACTCAATTGTCAGACCCTCCACCCTCCACCCTCCTCTTTATACTGGGCCCCTTCCATCTCCGACGTCTTAGAAGCAATCCCCTTAACGTCTGGATCCCTTTCAGGGGCCTGTCGTCCATGGGGCTCAAGGGGACGCTGAGCGGAGACATCGGGCAGCTCACAGAGCTTCTGTCCCTGTAAGCTCCTCCCATCGCACATCGCCATCTCTGCTTCTTACTTTCTAATGGGATCTAAGCAATCAAAAGGAAATTGCAGTGACCTTTCATACAACAATGATCTAGGTGGACCGATCACCAAATCCATCGGGAATTTGAAGAGGATCACGACTCTGTAAGACTCATCATCCCCAGATATCATTACTGCTCTCCATCCTTCTTCCTCCCCGTCGGCCTTTCGGTCTGATGAATTTGGCGTCAATGGGTGTGTGGGGGTCTTAGGATCATGGTCGCCTGCAGCTTCTCGGGGAGCATCCCGTCGGAAATCGGCGATCTCGAGGACCTCTCGTACTTGTGAGCGTAACCAGCTCGAGCTAATGAACTTGTTGACGAAGACAAGAAGAGTAACCGTAACGAAACTTGATTTCCTGAATCCATCTCACTTTTCTTCGCAGAGCTCTGAACTCCAACAATCTCACCGGCATCATACCCCCGAGCTTTGGGAAGCTCTCTAAACTTTATTGGTTCGACATCGCCGACAACCAGCTCACCGGGCCGATTCCCGTCTCCTCAGGTAGCACCCCCGGCTTGGATCAGCTCCTCCACGCGAAGCACTTGTGAGTATTTCTATCTAAGAAAAAACAATCAGGAGAAATCCAAGGCGATTGTCCGCGTGCCAACCATAATTTGTCTTCTCGCCAGCCATTTCAACAAGAACCAGCTGTCGGGAACCATCCCGGAGAGTCTCTTCAGCTCCAACATGACCTTGATCCACATGTAAGACGTTTGCCAACCTTCGCACCAGGAATTTCCGGCCATGGAGGCTCTACTTCTGCTGACTGCTGGTTTGCCCACGTCTTATAGACTCTTCGACGGGAATAGACTGACGGGGGGCATTCCGGAGTCGCTGGGCCTCGTGACGAAGCTGGAGGTTCTGTGAGTACCCATCCTCCGCCGAAGCTCAGTTTTCTCGTTTGTGATGAACAACCTCCTCGCCACTTCTTAGTGTTGGACTGATGATGGATCGATCTCCCCATCTCTGCAACAGTCGGCTCGATAGGAATGGTCTGACTGGCCCAGTCCCTCCCGGCATCGGCAACCTGACGGCCCTCAGAGAGCTGTAAGAGTATTCCCGGGAGCAGGGTCGCCTCCTTAATTCTCTATCTCGCGTTTCCTTCTCATTCGCTGCCTCACTCACGTCTGGTTCAGGAACCTGGCGAATAACCGGCTAACGGGAGAGATGCCGGATTTCAGTAGGCTTAGCGTTGTGAACCATGTGTAAGCAGCTTCCCATTACTGAGCCGGCCGTCGGCGCCGCCGCGTCCTTCGCCGTCGCCTGGTAGTTCTCTAACGTGTCGTCCTCACTGACCGACAGAGACTTGAGCAACAACTCCTTCAGGACGTCCGAGGCTCCAGCTTGGCTCGGGAAGCTTCAATCTCTCACCGCTCTGTGAGTCTCCGGATAACCCACCCGACTGCTAATCTCCTGAGGAATGGGGAGTCATCTCTGATCGTCGTCATCTCCCTTCTTCGTCCAGGGCGATTCAGTCAGGGAATCTCACCGGCGCGGTTCCATCGGCGCTGTTCGGCTTCCCGCAGCTGCAGGAAGTGTAAGCTCTCTGTGACAGACTTGCACCACCATCATCTGGAAACTCTCAACCTGTTCTTGGAAAGCGCCTCACCGTTGACTCTGGCTCGTGGAAACCAGGATCCTGAGAAACAACAGCTTCGATGGCTCCCTCAATCTGGGGCCAAACATAAGCCCCCATCTGCAGGTGCTGGATTTTCAGAACAACAACATCAGCGGCATCTCGTTCGAATCGTCGAACGTGATCACGCTGAAGTGAGTGAACACTGGGCTTCTGCTCTTCCCATAAAAAGCCAAGTTTGCCCTGGAGAGAGACCCGCTTCCATTCCTGGATGTAACTCTACGGTGGGTGCAGGCTCATGGGAAATCCTATCTGCAACGCCCAGAACTCGGGTACCAATTACTGCCAAAAGAGTCTCGAGCAGACGCCCTACACCACCAGTCTCTCCCACTGCGGCTCCTCGACGTGCCCCGAGGATCAGAGTCTCAGTCCCCATAACTGCCAATGCGTTTTCCCCTACGTGGGGACGCTGATTTTCAGCGGGCCCTTCTTCAGGGATTTGACCAACAGGACGAGGTTCCAGGTTCTCGAGACGAGCCTCTGAACGAAGCTACATCTCGCAAACGGGGCAGTGTCCCTCCAGAACCCCTTCTTCGATAGCGACAACTACCTCCAGATTCAGCTGCGGCTCTTCCCCTCGGATGGGCCGTACTTCAACCGCTCGGAGGTGATGAGGATCGGGTTCCAGCTGAGCAACCAGACCTACAGGCCTCCCCCCGAGTGGGGGTGGGGGCCTTATGTATTCGTCGCGTTATCCTACCTCTTCCCAGGTATCACCTGATTATTCTTGATCTTCTTCTTCTTCTTCTTCATCATCTGGGGAAACAACGCGTTTCAGCTGAGGCGGCCGGTGGCGAGAAGACGTCGATTGGCACGGGCGTGGTGGCCGGGATAGCGGCCGGAGGCGCTATCCTAGCGGTTGGGATGATATTCCTGGCCGTCTACGCCATGAAGCAGAGGAGAAGGGCTCAGAGGGCCGTGGAACAGAGCAGACCTTTAGGTGTGTTTCGGAAGAACAGGATACCTGGATCTCCACCCCCCCGCCATTGTTTCCTTATATCTCGGCTCGTTTTCTTCAGCATCATGGGGGTCGGGGGGGAAAGACGCTGGCAGCGCGCCGCAGCTGAAGGGAGCGAGATTCTTCTCCTTCGACGAGCTTAGGAGGAGCACTAACTGCTTCTCAGAAGCTAATGAGATCGGATCCGGAGGCTACGGGAGGGTAAAAAAAACATTCACGTCTCCATCTCTCGCCGCTCCCTATGGTTTCTGCTTCATCGAGCGGCCCATCGTGAACTGTACACCTCTTCGCCCCGACTTTCAGGTCTACAGAGGCGTTCTTCCGGGGGGCCAACTCGTCGCCATCAAAAGAGCGCATCAGGGATCCACGCAAGGTGCGCAGGAGTTCAAGACCGAGATCGAGCTGCTCTCGAGGGTCCATCACAGGAACCTCGTTGGCCTCGTCGGCTTCTGCTTCGACCAGAACGAGCAGATGCTGGTCTACGAGTACATTCCCAACGGAACCCTAAGGGAGAGCTTGTCCGGTGAGCTATCCGCTGAAGGAAATTCTCCGGCGAGGACCATGAATCCCTCCCTAACCCGGAGGAGATCTTTGTGCAGGGAAGAGCGGGATCCAGCTCAACTGGAACTGGAGGCTGAGGGTCGCCCTTGGCTCGGCAAGGGGACTAGCCTACCTTCACGAGCTCGCAGACCCGCCGATCATCCATAGAGACGTCAAGAGCAGCAACATCATCCTGGACGAGGATTTGACGGCCAAAGTTTCCGACTTTGGTCTCTCCAAGCTGATCTCCGACTGGGAGAAGGGACACGTCTCCACCCAGGTCAAAGGAACCGTGGTGAGACTTCCTCCCTCCCTCCCTCCCCAGAAGTTAACCCTCCCCTGCTGCTCTCCGAGGTTCTCATCGTGTGGCCCTGTCTCTCTCTTTCTCTCTCCATCTATCTATCAATCTCTCTATCTAGATATCTACCTATCTGTTGTTGTCTCTCTCTCTTCATCTCTCAATCTCTCTATCAATATGTCGATCTATCTATCTATTATTATTATTTTCTCTCTCTCTCTATCTACCTATTTATGTCTCTCTCTCTCTCTTTCTCTATCGCAGGGCTACCTTGATCCGGAGTATTATATGACCCAGCAACTGACGGACAGGAGCGACGTCTACAGCTTCGGGGTGGTGATGCTGGAGCTGATCACCGGGAAGGTACCCATCGAAAAGGGGAGGTACATCGTTCGCGATATCAGGGACGCCATGAACTCGCAGGACCGGGACCTGTGCGGCCTGAGGGAGTTCATCGATCCGTACCTCCGCAACTCGCCGGCCCTCGCCGGCTTCGCCAGGTTCGTCGGCCTGGCCGTGCGCTGCGTCGAGGGGTCGGCGTCGGCGCGCCCCACGATGAGCGATGTTGTGAAGGAGATCGAGTCCATCTTGCGGGACGAAGGGGTCAACACGGCCCCCACCTCTGCGGCCTCATCCGCTATAGACATCGACGCCGCGAGCGGTGGCGGCGGCGGCGCCCACCCCCCCTACCCCTACGGCGACCCGTGGTGAGGAAGGAGGTGAGCAGCGACTCCTTCGACTACAGCGGCGGCTACGCCATGCCCCCTAGGGAAGAACCGAAGTAGCAGAACCCAGTTCCTATCTCCTCCCCATTTGCAAAAAAAAAAACGAAGCTGGATGAAAGTTAAAAAGATTTGTAGTGTTACATTAAAGCCGGAGAATCAAAGATTTTTCTTTTCTGATGGAAACCCAGGAGAGGGGCCCCTGAGGGTCCACTGCCTGATGTTCGAATACAGAGTGATGGGGGAGGATTATCCGGGTGTAATAGAGATCAAATAAACTATGCAGAAAACGCCTATACTATAAGGAATAGACGACGGATAAAACTAAGTCTGGCTCGAAAATCATCCACGGTCAGGGAAACGGGGCTAGGACCGGGCGATTTAGGCAAACCGCAGTCGTAGAGTGCTCGCAGTTAACAAAGCAGATCTAATTTATCAAGGGGGAGTGACCACCCAATGCAAAGAGTAGTGGCTATCCTAACAAAGCAGACCCGATTTACCAAGGGTCGATTGTTGAGCAAACAAGATTGTGCTGGACCAGCAGCGGACTCCGTAAGTCAGAGCGTTAGAGAGGGCGGCAGGTGAACCAGAGCGACGGGAAGTTGGAGCGTCGGGCATTAGGCTAGGAGAGCAGAGATGAGGGTTGTGGAGGATGGAAGGAGATTCGTCGGCGGCGGCGAGTGCGGAGTCCTAGGGGACAGGGAGTGGCGGAGCGATGACGATGGTAGAGGAGAGCGGTGTCCAAGGGGGCGACCGGGTGAGACGGTGGTGATAGTGGCTGATGGAAGGCTGATCGTGATGATGGAGGGGAAAAGGTGACAGTGTGGGTAGAGGGAGCGGTCGGCGAAGGACGGCGGAAGGTTGACGGTGGCGTTGGAGGGGTGACAACGGTGGTGGCGGATGGAGAGGCGGGCCGACGAAAAGGGCGACAACAGTGACGGTGGAAGGAAATGGAGACGGGATAACACTCCAACCGGGAGCACGGGGTTCTCACGACCAACCTTTACCGGGGAGACGGGTCCTCACGACCTAGATCAATTTCTATGGATTTACCAAAGTGAGAAGAATTAGTGTGGAATGCTAAAGCTCAAAAATCCCAAATATGAGAAAGGGTTGATCGGGGTATAACAAAAATTAAACAAAGCACTTAAAAGATTGGGCTCAATCAGGCTACACAAAGGATGGAGAAAGAAGGCCCAAATGGGCGTGGGTATATAAACCTAAGAGAGGCCAAATAAAAAGAGGATCTTTTTTCGCACTCAAATAAGAGGTGGCGACTGAGTGATATACAACGGAGACCTCAGGGTTGCAAGGATGCGCTCTCCACTTTTTTCTCTCTTTTCTTAACTCCTTAGACCCCTCTTTATTTTGTAGATGATGAGTATCATTTAATAGATGACATTTTATTGAATTTTTAACTAGTTATTATTTTCTATCCCTAGACTTCTCACATCTTGACAGTGACACCAAGGCAAAAGAAAGGAAATCTGTATCAAGTTGTGCAATTTCTTTTAGCTTTATAATTTTTTCCAGATATCTTATCGTCTTACAAATCCAATAAATATTTTATCTCTTCAAACAATCATGTTTTGATGATTTGGTGACAGAATCATCAAGCATATCATTGGAAATCATTTTTTGGGTAGCAAACAATTTTCTAGGTAGCAAATGATCATGTCTTGATGATTTAGTGACAAAATCATCAGCACATCACATAAAATTATTTTTTGGGTTTCGTATTTTGACCCTTGGATCAAATCTGATTTCATGGTTCCACATAGAATTAGATCAAGATATTTTGGAAAAACTTAGCATAGTTAATTTATTATTTATATAATTTTTTTTCATGATTTTATCAAATGTTTATCAAATGAAATTTCTATATTTTTGACCCTGGGAATGGATTCGATTTTACAATCGCCACATGAAATTAGGTTAATGTTTTTTGGAAAAGTGCAGTATAGTTAATTTCTTATCTTCTGTAATTTTTTCATGATTTTAGAATAAGTTTAGTTTAGGTTTCTAGATTTTACATTACTATTTTCTCTATTTTTTTTATGTCCTTGATTTCTAATTTTTGACCTCTAATAATGTTGTTGTTCAGGGAATGACATATTGAATTACAAGATAACTTTTAAAGATATTAAATTAGAGTTAGTCATCTATATATTCTGAGATTTTATTAACTTTTAGAGTTAGATAATGATATTTTCAACTTTCTAATTTCATTGAGGATCGACATAAAATCTCTATAATTAAAGAGAGTTTATTTAGGGTTTTCATTATAAATATTAAGTTTGAGTGCTTACATTAACGACAACTTTGGGCACATCAAATTTTGGCGCCATTGTCGGGGAAATTAGCCAAAGTTGGCGTCATTATTGTGTTTGTCTGTTTTGTTTTTCTTTTTACATTTTTTTTATAGAGAAAAAAAAAGAAGATAAAGCAAAACTCAATGCACATGCCCCAAAGGTGGTAAGTCACTTGAGGTATTTCTAAACTCTAGATTTTTAATTGATTTATGCTTGGTAGGAGATCTCTAAACCCTAATTTGATTTCACCAGAATATGTTCCTACCTTTAAAATTTCTAAAAGCTCTAAACCTACTAGAATGGATAATATGAGTGAAAATCTTGAGTAGGTTAATGAAGAGCCTAAGTCTTTGAATGAATATTCTAATCCATCTAGTGGCATTAAACTTTTTGAAAACCTATTTGCATGCATGATATTAAATTAGGTATTTTTCAGATTTTATCAATTTTTTATGGAAATTTAAATGAAAACACTTATGATCATTTGCAATGTGAATTGGATGAAAACAAAGTTCTACTTGGTGATTTTATGTAATTGATTACATATAATTTAATTGGTAAAATTAAGATCTGTAAAAGTCAAAAGAATTATAATTTAATGAAAAAGAATTTTAAAATTTGAAATCACATAAAGTATCACTAAATTAAGTGAAAATTAAGTTGAAAGTAGGAAATGTAAAGTTCTGACCTCACGACAATGATCATTAAAATTCTATATTTAGGATGATAATCGTGTGATGTCTATAGCCTCAAGGGTTCTCTTTAGACAAAGATGACGTGAATAATCTCTACATTTTTTTGTGAAGTCTAGAAAGTAATGAAGGTGGGTTATTGAATCATCTCTAGTGGTTGTCACCCATCGGAGTAACAAAATAGTGACTTTGCGGTTCTCCGACAACTATTACCTAACAAAGATGAGCTAGAAGAAGATGGGGTGCGTCTTGGGGAACTTCATCCTTAAGTCCACACGACAGGAGAAGGCTCTTCATCGCATTTAGTATGCTTTCAAGAGGTGCCGATTTATCTCTCAACGGATCGTCTTCTTCTCGACGACGGCTTGTTCATCAATCAATCAAAGATCATTTACTCGATGAATTTACGATCCTTTTATTCATAATTATTTAGAAATTTTAGTAACAATGCTTCATGAATCATGTTGATAAGATTTTTGTCGATGATTGAGTGATTCTAGTAGCTTAATAGTTCATCAGTAATCTATAGGAAAATCATGATTTAATCAAACAAAAATATGAGTTTTGGCTCTAGTAGAATTCAAACCCTTGTTAATGACTCACCTCTATGCGAGAAAGTGAAATAAGTACTTGAATATTCATATAAAGTGACATCATAAGAGTATCTTATTCTTATAAATGAGAGATATTTTAGATATTAAAATCATAGGAAACCTTTGGGAAGCCAGTTTAGTTCCACATTGATTATTTTATGAGTTTTGAGACATATCTATTATAAAAGAAGATCTTACGATCAATAAGCCTCTCTTTTGCGTGTATGACCATTCCTTGCCCCACGCCTGGTTGACCATCAGTGAAGTGGAAGGGGAGTGATGCACAAATGTCACCTACTGGTCCTTAGCCACTCGAGTCTCACAACTTGTGGCTTCACCCAATTGTACTTCTAACCAGCTTGCGAGCCCAACTGGCCAACATGTCTGCCCCTTTTTCTATATTTTTATTTTATTTTATTGTCTTCATTTATCTCAAAAACATGATTATAAAAGTTCACAAAAAATCACATAATTAGCCAAAAATTGACATTAACTAACTAAAAACCACTTTTTACAATTTAACATAAATATAAGTCTATTTATCATGAGTTAAGACTTTAAATATATTATTAATTAATTATTAACTCATGATAATAAAGACTTATCACTTCGCACATAAATTTAGAGAGTGACTTTGCTGTATATGTCTAAGGGAAGCCTTTGAGGCCATAGACATCCCTCAGATATCTTCTAAACATAATTTTTTTTTGTAATTGCTATTGTGATGTCAAAACTTTATGTTCTTTGTTTAAACTCATTTAATCTTTGAGTTAATGATAGTTTTGATTGAATTTAAGTTTTGAAACTCTTCTTTAGTCCATTACGATTCATTTGATGCTTACACATGTCGATTTCATCAATTAAAGTTTCTAAAATTAAATTCACAATAATTACTAAGTGGAACTCTATTTTCTTTAGAATCATTGTTCTTCGAACACTAATGTCTTCTTGATGTCATCACCTGAATTTTCCTTTTTCTCTAATTTTAAAAAGGATTTTTTTATGATCTTTTAGTCTAAAATCATATAGAATCGTATTCTTTGATAAAAAAAATTAAAATTATGTCTGATATTATCATTCATCCCTATGATCCACATGAAAAATTCTCACTATTTTTGGACTCTTTATTGATTTAGAATTAAGATGTTTTTGTGAAAATAATTCTAAAAATTTGAAACTTATTGTTTTCTAATTATATAAAATTTTAATTTCCGTGATTTAATATACAAAGATTATGCTACATTAGGCAACACAATTGTCAAATTGAAGGAAGATTCAAGTCTCTTAAATTCTTAGATTTAACTCAAGTCTATGTCCTACAAAATACACTATAATTTGAGTGTTCTCATTGAGCTACAACAGCTCGGAATTAGTAACCCTCATTTCAGTCCTTATGAACATGATACACTCATAACCCATTCACCTTAGCTTTCTTAATTCTTGCCTTTTGCAATTTCACAAGTCTTTGCAACTCCATGTGGGCTTCCATCTCAGTGGAGCTGCACACCATGCCATAGACTTACTTCCAAATTCTTCTCTAATGTATGTTTGGACATATTATTACCCTCACATTCAAAAGGTAGAAATTGAGAAGCTTATCAAAGAAATGTGCCAAGAAGAGATTATTCAACTATCTACTAGCCAATTTTGTAGCCTAATACTTCTTGTCAATAAGAAAGATGGTAGTTGTGATAATGTGTGAATTATTGAGCATTAAATAAGGTAATCATTACGAACTGATTTTTGATTCACATTGTCAATTAATTATTAGATGAATTTTCTGAAAATGTAATTTTGTCCAATTTGGACTTGAAATCTAGATATCACCAAATCTGCATGAAAGATGTGGACATTTCACATATAGCTTTCCACGTTCTTCATGAGTACCATGAGTTCTTAGCCCTGCTATTTGGATTGTCTAATGCTCCTATGACTTTTCAGTCCATATATCATATTATTTGTGATTATTTGTGGCGCTTAGTTCATCTTTTTCAACGATATACTCATATATAGTTGCAACATGCCTTCTCATCTCCAAAATTTACAACAAATATTTTTAATATTACAACCCAATCACCTTTATATCAACACAAAGAAATATCAATTTGGCTTATACTCGATTGAATACTTGAGACATGTCATATCCAGTAATAGTGTCTAATAAGTTTCTATTATCATAAGTTAATAGTTAGTTTAATGATATGCTATATTCAATAACTCATGATAAATAATCTTATATTTACTTTAAATTGAGAAAAATATTTTTTATACTACTACTCTGAATTTATAGTTAATTATGTAATTTTATCAGATTTTTATATTCATATTTTCAAGTTACAATTAAGTAATATAAAATAAATAAAAAAATATTTAAAAAGAGGGGACTCATTGGCTAGTCATCTATTAAAGCTATATTTTTATATTTTAATTAGTTTTGTTATTTTATTTTATTTTTTTAACTTGCAAAATAAATATAGGATATTTTGTTAATTTTAGAAGTCTGAAGTTAAAATACTTACTGTAATTTTAGATTATTTAAAAATATAAAAGAATAAAACATAAAAATGTCTTGCCCGCTAGCAAGTTGGCACTCAGCAATTGACCTGGAGGGGTGTTGTAATTGAGTGGGTAGGCCCAAACTGGGGGAGCCACGAGTTGGGCTCGAGTGGTGAAGGACCCGCTCTACATACGTGTGCATCACTCCCCTTCCACATCTTAGTGGCCAACCGATCGTGGGGTAAAGAGCGTCCGTACACACATACGCGTGCGAGGGCAGACCACCTTTTTGCCTTCTCTCAAGATGGTTCTAACTATTATTTTATTTCAGGAGAAGGGATCTCTATTGAAAGAGTAACTTTGATTTATATTCAACTTAAATAATGACAAACTTTTGATGTGGGACTAACCATTTTTGTTCGTTTCAGTGCATCCATTTGGAGTGCAGCGTGATCTAGCAATATTCAGCGAGCCACATCATGAGATTAGCCAAATCTTGCAACTAGCAAACCGTCACGATACTAGATGTGTAAATCGATCCATCGATGGTTCACAAATTCGATGCCACTCAGCACACGTGGCTTTAAAGGATGATCTGATGGCTAAAGAGTCGCCACGGTACCAAGAACTTAAGTTCCCAATCAACAATAGTTTGTGGCGGGTTGATCCTATGTCGCTCAGTGCGCCACATGACCAAGTACATCTGATCTAGTAGGTCTTGAAGCGCCACGATATTGGGAACTTAATTTCTCGCACGTATCATTGTCAAGGATATAAACTCAATAATTAATTATTGTCTAGTAAAATAGATATTATCGATTATTTTTAAAATCCCGATGGTTGGCGCAAAAATGACAATCCGTTCTTCCCTCCTTTTGCACGATCGACATCTCTGACGATCAGCAAACTCATTTCTTCCTCTCTCGATTGCACTCAAGGCCTTCGGCGAGTGGTCAACTCTTCCCTTCTCCCCCCAGATGATGATGATAGTATGGTCAACCCTTCTTTTGGCGAATGTCTCCAGCAAGCGGAGCAATACTTTCGAACGATACTTCTATGACTTATGGCGTGGTGTGGCACATTCAGACGAAACCAAGTTGCCACACCAGTGTCTTCAGTTGCCTATGAGGCAAACTAAACTTGAGCAATGATTTATTTCTTACTTTTAGCATTTACTTACCTGCTTTTGTCATTTATTTATATTTTACGGTAAGTTATTTCTATTTCATGCACGTTTCGATTGAAATGAGTATAACTAATTAAAAACTTGATTAATGATCTTCGTTCTTCTTTTGAATCCTCCAAAACTCGTATGAGATTAAGCTAAGATCATTTTCAACTTATTTTCTATTAATTTTTGTAGTCAAATCTTGACATATTTATGTTCTCGACATTATGTGAATAACAAGCATTTTTCTATTTTTGAATATGAAATCACTGAAATTAAAGGCTGATTAATGAGTGTTCAATAGTTAAAACAAATTAGAGACATTCACAGCTAACCTCATGTCATGTGTGTGAATTCTTGAGCACACATTCGCCTGAGAATAATGGTCACCGTGAAAATGAGTTGACTATATTTCTCTCTTTCTTCATTTTCGTCTTATTTCTCTCTCTCCCTCTCTTGTGAGACCTAACTTCTCTCTCCGTCTCTCGTGAGATCTCTCCCTTTCTCTCCCTCTCTCTCGATCGATCTCCTTCTCTTTCTCTCTCTTGATCGATCTCCCTCTCTCTCCTTCTCTCTCTCTCTGTCTCATGTGATATTTCTCTCCTCCTCTCCCTTTCTCTCCCTTTCGCGAGAGATCTCATTCCTTCTCTCTCTCGTGAGAAATCTCTCTTCTCTCTCTTTTCCTCCTTTTTCTCTATTTCTTTTCTTTTATTCTTCTCACCTCACCTTTCTATTTTATTATTTTAGTTTAATATTAATAAAATATTAAAATCACTTTATATATAAACTTAATTAATTTTCACGATGAATTAATCAATCTCCCTGTGTTCGACCTGAGACTTACTTCTATACTAATAATTTATTAAGTCTTAGTTAAAAATATTATTAGATAATGTGCATTTAAACACGATGACAAGTGCACATCACCATCACTTGGCAGTCAACCCACGGAGGACAAACTATATTCGAGTGAGTAGACCTAGACCAAGGGGAACAATGAGCTGGTCTCTGATCGTTGAGGACCCACATACACATGTGTTATTATTTTTCCACATCACCCAAGCCAAACTAATGTATGGGGCAAGGTATGGTCTTGTCACACATGTGTTGTGTGTGGGTGGACCACCCATCTACACGTCTCCTTAGGTGGTCTTAGCCATTTTATTTTTGAGATAATGAAGTCAAATACATGAGATAGACTAGACTTATATTGTTCTCAAACTCTCTAAAATAATCGATGTGAGACAACTATTTGATATTCTTATTTGCTAAAATAATATCTAAAATTCCCCTACATAAATACAAGGTTAAAATCTCATGTTTTGACTATTTCAAGAATAAATGTAGAATTTTCATATTTTTAGTTATACATCTAAGTGATTAATAGATATTTGAAACCCACTAATAAGTTTTTATTATCATGAGTTAATAAATCATTAATAATATATTTTAAGCCTTAACTTATGATAAATAAAATTAGATTTATGTTAAATTAAGAAAAATGTTTTTCAATGAATTAATATGATTTTTTGATAATTATGTGATTTTTATAAATATATTTTAAAGATAAATGAAAAAAAAAGAGAGGACATGTTGGCCAATCAAGCTGGCATGCGAGTTGGAGACATAGTTAGGAGACTCACTGGCCAGCCAGACTCACAAGCAATTTGAAAGTACTGTCAAGCAGAGCCATGAGTAGGGGGGGCTCAAGTAAGTGTGGACAAGTTGAGGGGCATATGTGCAGCACTCCCTTTCCACATCACTAGTGGCCAGTTAGGTGTGTGGCAAAGAGTGATTGTACACACATGAAAAGTTATATTGGCGACGGAAAGATTTATGAAGGTAACCTAATCATTGTGTAATAAATCATACAAATTTAATATTTATAAAACTAAAAACTATTATTTTTAAAAACTTTAAAAATATTTTAGAACAAATAAATTAATTATAATTTGATAAAATATTTTAAAAATAGTAGAGAATTTTCAAGTCAATCATAAGGATGTAATATAATATTAGTTAATATTTTAAAATTTTCTACAAAGAGTATGATTTTTTATAGTTTTTAGACTTAATAATGAAGATAAAATATATTTAAAATTTGTGAAAAGGGAAATAAGGGTCTAAATGTCTTGATGACATTAATGGCCCAACAAATACAAATCAAGTAAAAATAAAATTCTGCTCGATAATTTTTACGTAAGTGATT